CGGTATTTCTTTTAGGTGACACCATCCCAAAGTTGCAATGTAATAATTTACCCAGGACAGTCTACCATATGCTTCGGATTATAAGACATTCTAAAAAGTAAGATGTATCTTAAAATGTAAAGTGTGATTTATAATTGGGAGATTAAGGTTGTATGATAACCATCTTCCAGAAGAAGATACAATGTGAAGATTGTGCCTTATGGAAAATGATTTCCTACAACGAGTTGAAAACACGTCTTTAGGAAAATAATGTAATACGATGGAGAGCCGTCTTCCATAAGACGAGCATTAAAATGCAGCTTTAAAAATTGGACATAGGCTTTCAAGATGATGATTTTGAATGGCTTTGTGGTAATGTATTGCGGTGGAGAACCATATTTCAGAAGATGATTATGAACAACGAGATTAAAACATGTCTTCAGGAAGGTCACGTATTTCCCGGATTATAAAACGCACCCCAAATTGTCTTTAAAATGCAGGGTTTTAAAAGTGTGTCTTATAATCTAGAGAAGACCTTAGGAGTTAATTTGACTTAATAAGGGATTTTTTTTCCCTTCCAAATTTAACTATATATTTCTGTGAAACCAGATGCGGTAATTAACACTGAGCTAATTTGCAGACAAAATGTGACCCAACATACCACAAAGGTCATTACCGAAGATGGCCCGACATCGTGCCTTTTGAGGCAAGCAGGATTAAATGGCATGCCCTTTAAAGGATTAAATCATTAAATGCACAGATCTAGACTGAAATGGTTCATTCTAGACTGAAATGGTTCATTTTTAAAGTTAATTTGACACTGATTAGCTTAATTCGATATGTACCTGGCAACTTTAGTTAAATTCCTCGTCAAGGCTGACATCAGTAGGCGAATGATATCTGAAACGGACCTGAGCCTCCCCCCACATTGACCATCGTGGTGAAGTATGCTCAAACAAACGCCATAACCAACACGGCACGGGAAGGTCCTCATCCACCAGTGGATTTACATTATTCCTGCCCAAAAAATCAACGTAATAAAAATTAGCAGCAGATTTTGGTCATAAAAAGTAAAGGCTCTGTTACCTTATTTTGCCACTAAAACAGAGGTGTTACGATGATTTGTGGTCATTCAAACAGTGTCCCCTATGTTGTCATTAACACTAGGTGGTCCTCAACTACATCAATAGTGCTTTACCAGTGGCTCAGGTTCCACATTCATGAGCCAAGAGCCAGTCCACCCACAGAAAAAAATTAAACCACGATTGAATGAAAGATTGTGTTTCGCTGGCGTTGGAACTGCTGACCTTAATATTCAGCGTACGATTTCAGCTGTGTAAACATTACATAATGGAAATTACAAATTTGCTGTGTCTTATAGGCGTCCATGTAAGAAAACAGAATAGTGTTTTTTAGTAAAGATGTTCTTACTTTAAATATTTACTCGAAGGTATACAAATACAATCGACGTTGTTTACGCAATGCATAACATCTTACTAAACCTGAACAAGTTTAAAGTCCAATTCAAAATAAAACATTGTAACATTGTTTTTTAGCACGAGCGGCTTCGACATTGACACGGCGAAGACCGGTAGGTTTATCCACAGGATGATCACTGCTGTCGGCTTTCCACAAATCGTGAGTCATTCTATTGACCCCAGAAGGTTTTATGGGCTGACTTGACCCCTGTCTGAGATTCGTATTTGCAAAGCTTCCCATTGCAAGTCGTGATTCTGCGAGAACAACCGGGCGATCGTGCAGAGACATCCAACCTGGCTATATCTATGCCACCGGCGATGTGCTAAGCCCCCTTTTGATATATATGTATATATGATTGTCATGCTCGGCCTGGTTGAGATTAACGTCTCCTGTAACAAGGTGACGTCAGCCTATAAAGCACCAGACGCTGTCTGGACAACGCCAGGTTCCACCTCCGCACCTCCCTTCCCGTAAATGTGAATCATGGGCTGGCGATGCCCTCAAGAATCACAGCAAATTGGGCGAACGGCAGCGCTTCTCGTTATCAGTGCCCTGTGCTGTTTCACTTCGCGTGCTGGACATGGTACTGAACAATGAATGAAGGCGGCGTCGTTCATTCAGAACACCTGAAACCCATTGTAGGTGATAAACCGACCGTGCTAGCTTTGATTTAAAGCATTCATGATTGCAGGAATTCATATTATTTGGGTCTTTCGGTAAAGTCACGACGACCGCTTGTGTTGCGATCGAAACGTCGTAGTTTTTGGTTATTTTATCTGAACCTATCTACGTGACTTTACCGAAAGACCCAAAGAACGTGCTAACTTTTTTTGAAATACAAAAAGGTCGTCAGCAAGTAATGTTTTAAGCTCGGAATTGGCTAACATACAAAATGATTACCGTTATCACAGTCGTCATACTTTGTGTTGCCCATGAAACTTCACATCTTAGCCTCCCCGCCCACGTTTTTAGCTGCCCCTGTCTTTGACCTCACCACCATCTATGTAACCATATCATCATCATTCTCCCACCTCCACTCCCTTCCCTAAATCAACGTGTGTTTCCATGATGAAAGCGACTGGTACGATTTATATTACTTTGGTTCAGCTTTTTTGCGAATGATTCTGTGGTTAGGCATTGCTTTGGGTAAACGCATTGACAGTAACAAAACACAATGTCACCCTGTACACAATGTCACCCTGTACACAACGTCACCCTGTATACACAATGTCACCCTGTACACAATGATGTCACCCTGTACACAATGTCACCCTGTACACAATGATGTCACCCTGTACACAATGATGTCACCCTGTACACACAATGTCACCCTGTACACAATGTCACCCTGTACACAATGACGTAACCTTATTTAAGCTAATCAGAGAGTAAAAAGGTAGCTGAAAGATACAAAAAAACTAATACTTTACCAATTGATAAAAAATAATCAATTACAGCCCTTTATCAATCCACTGTTGGATGAAAGACTCCCCACGTCGTGTTGGTAATGGGGGGGGGGGAGGCTGTTTGACCATACTTCACCATGCTTGTCACTGTGGTTTGGTGAGCAAGGGTGCCCAGCATCAGTACAGTTACTATACTGAATCACTCGCCGTCAATGTTAAACGTGGCCAGGAATCGAACTCAGGCTGTTGGGTGTTTTCGCGCAGTGGACTAACAACCACTGCCCCGAATCACCCCCCCCCCCCGCCCCTGTATGCATAAACGATCACTGTTATCCACTTTCTTTGCAAATACAAACGGAGTAGATGTCACTTTAACCTGGGATAATTTCCGTTTCAACGCTCATTGCCCCACTCTGGCACAAATCTGCCAGCTGCCCCGCACGTGAGCGCTGCATGAGTCCAGCCTTGCCCCGCGCTCTGCGCGGCACATGAGCATCAAGGCGTTGGCGTCGTTTCCACGCGGGGCCACACGGAGCACATTCCATCCCACTTAAATGTAAAGCGGTTCAAATGCAACGGGCCTCGTTTAGATTGAGGGTAACTGTCCGTGTGGGTCAGGTCAAAGCCGACCCCCGGGATCGCCACGAAACGTCGTCGTTTCGCGTAAAACTCGGTTCGGTCAACCCGTGGCACCTGGGGTGTTGGTCCCGTGACCTCCTGCCAGCGAGCCTTTCGACACTTGACGTGGCCTCAAAGTGCACCTGGTCTGGCACAAGCACCGTAGGCTGATGTCACCGCCACTTAGTGGCGAATGAGTGGCGTGTGGTTGTGGTTGTTGCATCTGCGTGAACCTCGGCAGAGCGCGGCGTCGACCGAGTTAAAGATTTTAGAATCCGCACGGAGATCGGCTGCTGTTACGGCTCAGCGCGTACTTCCTCCTGGATTTAATTAAGCGGAGCCACATTTGCAGAGTAGTGGGAACGCCGAGTGTAAACAATGGGACGTGCCAAGAAGTAGACTACGACGTTTAAGTCCTGGCATTCATTCCAGTTGTAGTTACGCACCAGGCTAGGGTCGTTGCTTTTCATCGCATCGTTTGCAGGTTAACGATATCCGATTTTTTTGGGTTACAGCAGAATGGTTTTGTTAAAGATTGAAACGCATACGCATCAATGGCCGGGTCAAGCGTCTTGTGGCAGTTTGGTGTACGAAACTAAAATCACAGTTGTCCGTGTAATCGATGTCCGTAGATTTTCAAAGAGAGGCAGCTTGCCTATGGAGTGTAATCACAGCTTATATTTGGTGAGATGTTGCAGCTCCCAGTGAAGGGAACCTTCAGCACAACACACAAGTTCAGCGGTTGTTGTACGAGCAGTCATCACAGGGCCAGAGCGTTTTCACGTTCCCAATCAACTCCAATCTATTTCAGTGTTTGCTGTGAAACGCACTCGCTTAACACAGATAACGAAATATTGTTTGCGAAATGTTCACTTTCGTAATTTGTGTATTTTCTATAACTTAGTAATTGTTTTGCTTACAGGATACAATCTCAAGAATTAGCTGTGCAGACACGGTTCCTTTTTGGGACACAGCTCTCCACCGTGAGAAATAGTGGATCAATGAGTGCTCCATTGAATCCAGGTGATGGTCCGTTGAAGTGAAAAATGCGGCTGCGATTGTGGTATGTGATTGTACGATGTGGGGGTGCCCATTAATACGGTATTGATCTGTTTCTGGTGCGTATTTTTGTGTTATCCCCTCGTATTTGTGGGTTTTCTCCAGGCATGCCGGGGGTTGGGGGGGGGGGGTATTAGTGAGAAACACAATCTGAACGCTGTACTGTTTGTACCCAATATTGCTATAGTGCTATGCCAATAGCGAGCATCGTGAGTACAAATTGAGGCGAGGTAGATACGACGTGCCAAAGTAATTCCCGGAACGACGTTCCGGACTGTTCCGGTTCACACTACAACTCCTTCCCCACCCACCTCGCACCTCCGATTAGCGCGGTTGGCTACGTACGGCGCGAAAGAAGTTCAACGTACGATACATACACACATCAAGCAAGCAAGCAGCCACCACTCACTCCCTTCCCAGCGCTTCCAGGACGCGCGCTAACAAAATTCAAATTAAACGACCGCGCCGACCCCACGGGAGGGCGCCAAACGCGTCACGCCGCTGATTCAAACGCGTGTCTCGCAAACAGCGCATTGAAGAAGGGGGCCGCGAGAGAGAGAGAGAGGGGAGAGGAGGGAGGGGGAGCACTCACACTCACTCAGAGCGCACGAGTCAATGAGGGCGAGACGCCGCGACGCGAGCCACGCGCAGTCACACGCCGCGAGGAACACGGGCAGCACGGGAGGAGAAGGAGGAGCACCGCCAGCGTCATATCAACCCGGCAGGGCAAAGGGGCACGGCTAAAACATCTGACACAGAGACTGAAGACAATTCGAGAGACGCAACAACAACCACAGCAACAAGAAGAAAGCGAGCGGGGTCTCTCTGGGTCGCCTTGACTCTTCACAGGAGTGACAGCTTCTCTGGCAGCTTGTATGAGCCTTCGGAAGACGGTGACAGCCATGGACGAGTGATGCCGTGGTCAGGTAGGGAGCTACTGGAGAAGTGACGTCGTGGACAGGTAGGGAGCTACTGGAGGAGTGACGTCGTGGACAGGTAGGGAGCTACTGGAGGAGTGATGTCGTGGACAGGTAGGGAGCTACTGGAGGAGTGACGTCGTGGACAGGTAGGGAGCTACTGGATGAGTGACGTCGTGGACAGGTATGGAGCTACTGGAGGAGTGACGTCGTGGACAGGTAGGGAGCTACTGGAGGAGGAGTGACGTCGTGGACAGGTATGGAGCTACTGGAGGAGTGACGTCGTGGACAGGTAGGGAGCTACTGGAGGAGTGACGTCGTGGACAGGTAGGGAGCTACTGGATGAGTGACGTCGTGGACAGGTAGGGAGCTACTGGAGGAGTGACGTCGTGGACAGATAGGGAGCTACTGGAGGAGTGACGTCGTGGACAGGTAGGGAGCTACTGGATGAGTGACGTCGTGGACAGGTAGGGTGCTACTGGATGAGTGACCCCGTGGACAGGTAGGGAGCTACTGGATGAGTGACGTCGTGGACAGGTAGGGAGCTACTGGAGGAGGAGTGACGTCGTGGACAGGTAGGGTGCTACTGGATGAGTGACGTCGTGGACAGGTAGGGAGCTACTGGATGAGTGACGTCGTGGACAGGTAGGGAGCTACTGGATGAGTGACGTCGTGGACAGGTAGGGAGCTACTGGAGGAGGAGTGACGTCGTGGACAGGTAGGGAGCTACTGGAGGAGTGACGTCGTGGACAGGTAGGGAGCTACTGGATGAGTGACCCCGTGGACAGGTAGGGAGCTACTGGATGAGTGACGCTGTGGACAGGTAGGGAGCTACTGGCTGGTAGTTCCAGGAGCCTTAAGATCGTGAAAGCCTCTGAGTAGTTAACACTCGAGCAGGTGGAAAGCTATTGGAAGAGTAACGCGTGGATAAAGAGAGAGGGCACTTGGGGGAGTGACGCTTGACTGCTGGTAGTCGTAGAACGACAAAAAAAAGACGAGGGGTGACAGCCCCCGGCCGAGTGACGCTTGGAACAAGGTAGAGATATATATGTAATTGATCCTATTGCTGCCGATGTCACGTTGATGTAGCTTGCAAGACTCCGGGAAGAGGGTAGCTGGGTGATGCGTCGCGCGTTCAGCAAATAATCGTGCGCCGGCTCCGTGTCACGCGAGACACCTGAAGATTACTGCGATTGTGGAGCAAAGGTTGAAGAAACCAAAACAAAACACCGACGACACTTCGGAACCCTTGTCGTTGTTGTTTTTTTTTCTTTCCCCCCAGCGAGCTGTGTCGGTCTGAGCTGACCTTCTCGTCCGCGAGCTGGCGGCCGTGAGGGTTTGAATCTGGGTCCCGGGGTGGAGGAGGAGTGACGAGGAGGAGGAGGAGTGCTGCAAGTGGCGCAGGCGGGGGAAAAAAAGTCTCTCTGGGTTTGTCGTCTCGAAAATAAAAATCACAGCGCAGGAGAAGGCGGCAGGGCCGTCAGCCAGGGACCTGGGGGCAAAGATGACGTGGCAATGCACAGGGTAAGGTGGCGCACCGTGACGATCCCACCACGCGTGGGGTTCAAGAGCGACACGTGGTGGCTCTCTCTCACTCACACGCACGCGCGTGCACGCAGCGAGACGCGGCTGCTCACTGTTACACGGCCAACACTCTCGCAGGGATGGCTTTCGGAATGAATCGTGTCACTTTGATTGTTATCAAAGCATGTGTGTGTGTGTTGAACTTCTTTCGCACCGTACGTAGCCAACCGTGATAATCGGAGGTGCGGGGGGGGGGGGAATGACAACAAACTGCACACAAACAGCAGTTGCTGAGAAAAGTATTTCTCGACAATGTGTGGGGTGTCTGGCTGTAGTTTCAGCGTGATTTTGTCCGACGTTTCGCGTCACGTGCTGGGGGGGGGGGAGACTGCTTCAGAGGAAAATGAGTTGAGTTGCTCTTCAGTTCTGTGAAGGAGATCTCGCCGAACAATCGCAAATCGTGTCCAACAAACACACATCGGAGGATGATACAGCCACAAGCGCCAGCAGCTACGCAGTAGTAATGCAGTCCTGTATGATCACTTCTGTTGAATTTAATGTTGGAATCGGCTGCCTGGCCGGGAAGGGTTTGTCCTGGCTAGGACTGCTTGTGGCGGCACTGCCCTGGTATCGGTTAAAGGTTTTCCAAGCGCTGCCTATCCGGTGAAGAGGTATTCATTTGTGTTCGCTGGCTATGAATCGGAGTTGGTTATGCGACGGTTGCTTTGCTGAGAATGTCAAAAAGTTGGCTAGGAATGTACTTTTGTAGGTTGGTTAAACGTTAGAACAATCACACGAGTTGTGGTAGTTGTTGACTGGTTAAGAGCTACCCGTTGACTGTTGAGTAGTAATTGTGTTAGTGAAAGTTGCATCTGTGAAAAAGAGCTTCAGAGCTCATCGGATTTCTCAAGAATAATTACATATTGTAATTCTGAGCTAGGAATTGCTCGTATTGATTGGATAAGAACGATAGTGATTGACGGTTAGTTTAACAATGCGACAGGATGATTTATATGTAGAATGTTGGGGCATTTCTGAATCGCTTGGCTAACTTACAAGGTGCGTGCAGTCTGGCTAAGGGCCATGTGTAAAATCTTTTATGTGTTGAAAACTATTGGAGCTATGCTGTTGCATGTCTGTGTGTCTGTCACACGTAGAAACGAAACGCACAGGCACAGTGCACGTGCAGCAATTATTATTACTATTGTATAATAACTTTATTATTCAGCAAAGTAGCAAAATAAATATGTATGTTTGTTGATCTTCCTTCACACGGCACGTAGCCAAGCGTACTCATCGGAGGTGCGTGGGAAGGACAACATTCAGAAAGTAGTAATGTACAGCTGCTTGTCATTACACTGCTGGATGAAGTAAGTCATCCACAACTTCATGTCAGTCATGGGGGGGGGGGGGTTGTTTGACCATACTTCACCACGATGGTCAGTTCGGGTGGCGGTGAGGGGCGGGTGTTGTACGCCAAAGGGCTGCGGTTAACGTAAATCACTCGTCACTGACGTGAGCCGTGGCGGCTGGGAATAGAATTCGAGTCGGAGGGTTCGCATCGCCGTTGCGCTAACCACTGCGCCACCGCTCCACCGCTGATGTTGTCACGTCTCGTGCACCCCCCCCCCCCCCCACCGCTTTCACCAACCCTCATTGACCGGTGCGGTGAAGTATGGCCTAATAACCCACTGCTGGATGAGGGAAGCTGCCTATTCGGACAGTCGTAGATGTTCAATAAGGGCTCTTATACATCGTACATGCAGCGTATTATCCGGATCATAAGACGCTACGGAAAGTAAGACTCACAACCGCCCTCCACACCTCGCACTTTTATTTTATAATACAAGGGAAGGAAGTTGCCCTCTTACAATCCGATGATTATGGTGCACGGACTCTTAACCGACCCTCATTCTATTAACGGTAACACGTTTCGTTGAGCTTCGTGTCAACACATAAATACCAAAGCAGTATACTATATATATACACACACAAAAATCCACGTTGACAGCGAGTGCGCACTGATTGTGTTGTGGTAAACTCCCAGTGAGTTGGACCCCGTTAATGTCACGTTCACCTGTAGATATCTGCAAGGTGCGGTGCCTTCTCTCCCTCCTCCCCCTCCCCGCGTTATCCCTCTCGTGCGCGTGGAATGCGCGGCTGTATATCTGTGGCATGCGCTTACATAATGGAAGTTTAAACAAGGCGACTTGTAAAGTGCGCACTGAAGCTGCGTGGCTACGGACCTATCCCGCCCTTCGCTCGGGATTGGCAAAGGGCGGTGGTGTAAACATCACTTTGTGTGCCGTCACAGCAAGACACTGCGGGGAGGGGGAGCCTGGGTTCGACTCCTGCGTGGGGTATGTTGTTACGTTCTCCACCGGTTATTTTGCGTGGGTTTTTACTCTCATAACAAAATCATCCAACCCCCCCCCCCCTCCGCCCTCCACATGCAAAGTAATTGGTGTTGGCCCAAACAACCCCCACACGTCGAAGTAAAAACAAAACACATGAAAACGACTCGGTTGGGATTACACGTGGCAATGATGATGATGATTACGTTTGTGTTGCAGAGATGTTGGTGTGGCCATCGGGGCTGCCATGCCCGCTCTCTGGATCCTCCTCTCGTTCTGCGTCCTCAGTGGTGAGGTAAGGCAATGTACTGTAGATGTATACAGCAAACGAATACAAGTCAAATGTAATTTCCTGCTCAAACGACCATTGAGGTGGCTCTCGTCTCCTCCTTCAGAGTCACGAGTCAGTGGTGGAAATTCCTCATGGCAGGGGCCAGTTTATCCATTCACGAAACCACCGTTGATTTCCCCACAAAGCGGTTGTAATTTTATTGACCCCCCCCCCACCCGGAGGGATGATGGGTTGGGTCAACGCCAAACCAGCCTTGAACTGGCAATCGGAAGGGCCGCTCAGCTTACCACGTGGCAAGCTGTGGACGCTGCAGCCACTGGCTGAATGTCTCACTCGAACGTTCGGGGAACGGTGGCGGGGTTGTTCCAGCTGAGATTAAACACCACCTTGTGATGTGCGTTACTTGTTTGCGGGGTTGGATACAAATTCTTCAGGAGATTGGGGAGAGGGGGACTTGACCGTCATTATAATCACTAACATGCCTACCACCACCGTCACCACCACCATCAACACTATCATTATTACGGTATTAAAAACATCATCATGACTTTAAGAATGTATAAGGGAGGCTGAACCTTCAGCAGGGGGAGGGAGGGGTGGACGGTGTCAGCTCCCTCCAGCACCCCCTTGCTACTAAGAGGCTGTGTCCAGTCCGGTTTTGTTTAATCCACTGCTGGATGAGACATACTTCTGGGCTGTGCTCGTTTCTGTTGTGGGTCCCAAATCAGTGGTGGGAATTCCACCTGTTTTTATTGACACAACCGACCTCCCACGCACTCGAAAAACACTTTGCGTACTGCTTTGGCAGGGGTCTACTACTGGCACACATCGAACACTACAGGGATTTTACCTACATCGCCTCTTCTTCGGCAACGGTAAAGGTTGATCCAAGTCTGACCTCTCACGGAGTGGTGACAGCTCACCACGTGGGGCTCACTGTGTGTCCTTCCGATATTAGGAAGCCACTGGAGATATGGCACTTTTAAATCTGGACTGAAAACTAATTTCTTTATAACTGATTGTTGTGTTTTGTTTATTTGTCCTTCCCCCACACCTTCGATTATCACGGTTGGCTTACGTACGGTGCGAAAGAAGTTAAACATACATACATACTGCAATGGTGGGATGGGTCTACCCAGTAGCTGAGTCTACCTCGTGGCATAGCTTGGGCTAAAATTCTAATGGAATATTTTCTGCGAGTCTCCCAATCTCTCGGATTCCCCCACCCCCCCCCTGCAGTCACGGGGTGGTGGGGGAGTGGGCTAGGCAAATAATATTTTCAGGAGCTCAGCCTCAGGCAGTTTTGGCTGACATTAAACTCAGGGCTTTGTGTGGTTGGCATGGGTCCTGGTGCAACGAGTGCAATGGGGCCCCCTCTTGTCTACCTTCATCGTATTCGTAGCCCAGAGTTTCTGTTTTTCCGGCCAATAGTCGACTCCACACTTGGGACTTGGATGCGAGTGCAGCGTTGGCACGCGGGAGCCTGCCGCTCTCGAAATTGCGTGAATCTTCATCGTTACGCGTCTTTGGATTAAGTAAGTCATCCACAGTGTGTTAAGGCTATACGGGGGATATTTGTCTTTGCATGTGGGGAGCAGTAGTGTAGTGGTTAGCGCTGCACTAGGAACCTGGCGACCCGAGTTCGGTTCCCGTTCACGGCTAACACCAGTCACGATTATCTGAACCCCAATGTCGAATCAGCCTCAAATGAGTACCTGGTGCGATGTGAAAACGTCTCCACTGGGGAGACAAAGGTGACCGGACGTGGTTCCGGCCTGCATAGGCACTCACTAGCAGCACTTGGCCCAACAGTATGTTAAGACTATACGGGGGATCTTTGTCTTTTGTACACGACCGCAGTACATCTACATGTGACATATCACAGCCCGTGTTTTGCGAAATAAAGCCTGTGGCACGCGGTGCTAAAAAAAAAACGGCCTTCTGCTTATCCGACCGCGATCGCTAACGTAAGGAGTTCTTTGCGAGAGAGATAAATGGGGATGTGAGCACGCGTTATTAAAATAACGAACGTCGGCGTTGACGGCGCGGGCACCGGGGCGGCGGCAGCTACCTGCACATTCCCGTGTCAGAGGCTCAAGAGAGACGCACCGACTCCCACGTGTCAATCTCAATCGGCGATCAACAGCCATTACCTGTTGCACAGCGGTGCTCGGGAACGTATGGGGACGCGGTGTTGGGTTGCGGCGTGCCGAGGTGGCTGCAGGTTTGGAGGGACTCGCGTTTTCAAAGTGATGCTCGCGTGACATTTTTTTTTAGCACCATTTGGCCGTCATTCGTTCCAACGTTGCGCGCGCGCTTCTCGCCTGCATTCGCCGGTAGTCGACTTTGAGCGAGGAAGCGCGGTATCTTGCCGGCGGCCGTTTTCCGTTGAGGTGCGTGCACAACGCGAGCAACCCGCCGCGCACTCTCGACGCGCGTGCGCGCGTTTGGCTTGTGCCCCGTGTTTTTGTTGGCATGACGTCCGACGTTTCGATTCCACATGGGTGCTTCTTCTCAAAAAACGTGGCACGCGAAAACGTCGGACACCACGCCGGCGCAATGTAAAGTCACAGCGGAGAGGTGCCCGGCATGGCCGCGAACACTTATGCAGTCGTACTTTATCATGATTATACACGTTCCTTGCGTGCTGTCACCAATTGAACAGACAAATCACCCATCAGGTGCAACTGGTGTATGTACCCCATGGTCCGAGACAAACCCAGCATCGAAGGGGCCCCTGGGATGCCCAGGAGCCTTGCAGGGAAAGACAAATGTCGATCGGTCGCTTTCTTTGCAAGTTTAATGTAGAGCCCATATTTGATCACGTATCCATTAAAACCACCCCTTTTGTTCCCCCTGATTAAATTATGCTCAGGCGACATGGAATGTACATGTGCTGGCCATGTCTATCTATAATTAAACATCGCTGTATTTAGCATCTTACGTTCGGACATGCACACCTGACTTTGGAATTGCATGCAGGGTGAGCAGCTGTCTTAGTTGACAAAATCAAGAGCGTTCTCTGGATTTTGCTGATCCTGGGAGTTTTGGGTGTGAGCCGTGACCTCTACCCCTCGGACCTCCCAACTGCACTGAGCCTCCCACTCTTTGTGCCAGGCCTCCCAAATGCCCACCCCAGTACTCCAGACCTCCTCTTCGAATCTCTCAAACCTTTACATCGGGGCATTTCAACATTCAGCCTGGGCTATCAAAAGTCATTTCCTGGGCTCCCATCCTTGTACCTGGGAATTTTGATTTCCCCTTTGTATTTTTGACCACTTTTTCAGGTATCTTGACCTCCCAGTCCAGGATTTCCAACCTGGCCTATATCGCCATATTTCCTTATTGTGCATTTTTAAAAATCTCTCAAGGATCTTACATCCTCTCTCCTGGTCTCACAATCTCTTACCCCTTTTCTCTCTACCATTCTGCCTGGTGTTTCTGACCTCTGCACTGGCAATTCCATGACCTTCTGACCTCTCCACAGGGTGTTTCAACCTCCCTCTCAAGACTGCCTGTTCGTGGGCTTCTACCGGGGATCTCCTGACTTGTATGCCAGGACTGTCTGTCTTTTTAATGTTTTGCATGTCCTAAATTCCCCACCAAGCTGCCTGAGCTCATGCCCTGGCCTGTGCATGGCGAGATATTTTAAAATATTGTAGTCAACAGCAAGTCACGAAAAACTGATTTCCCATCACACGTGATATCGTGTTTGCAAAGTTCATGTTGTAAGATTGTGCTTCCACAGTATCGTGTGCGCGCTTGCTGATGAATGGGTGGTTAGATCTTGGGAATGCTGCTCAGGAGGAACAAGGAAAGTGGTCGTTGTTATAAACCACTCCCACGAGAGCAATTCTAACATAAACCCAGTTTATTTTAACGTGTGCAAAAGTATGCAGCGAAGAGCAATTGAATCAATTTATGTTTGCATCAGTCACAAGATCAAAGTTCATCTGTGTAATTCAAATTAGCTATTTTACAGCCAATGAATGTTTTAACTAAATATTTGACATTGCACTTTATTGTATTTTATAGCTTATTTTTGCAATTTATTGGTCAATTGCTACTAAAAGCAACGTACTGTATATGGCCACAATAAATGTGATTGTAAAAGAAAGAAAATAGCAAAATAAAAGTGGTAAAACAGCACTTTAAAAAACATTATTTTGAACTACAGAATAAGGATTGCACTGAAGGCAGTTTTTTTTTGCATTTCAAACCAGGAGCCAATGTGCCGTGCACATTGGGTTAAATACAGGAGCAACAAGATACCTGACACAACCCGTACATTTCACTCGTTACCTCAGTTAATGCGTGACGCCCGCCCTCATCTCATATTTGAATTATCGTCGCTCTCTGCACGGCGTGACTCGTAAATCGTAACGTGTTTTCATCTCTTAATTCCGGTCAATTGGCAACACAGTGACAGGTGGCTGCAGTCCCCCAGCATCATTTCTGCCCCCTCTGGATGACGCGGGGCGGAGGAGGAAATTGGAGCCGTCATTAAAACCGCTTTTGTGGTTTGCCGTGTTTGCGGCGATGACGAGACTGTCATATTCCTCCGTGGCGTCTGTGGCTCGAATCGCCATTCGGTACGCGGAGCGCTGCGTTGTGCACAGATGTAACTCCGCAGCCGAGCCTCGAGCGGATGATTGATTTGTGCAGTTGGCACCCAACATTGGCTAAGACCTGTTGGCTTTCCCCGGGTTCAGTGCATGGGCAGAGTTTGGGGGGGTGGGGATGCACGTGGGGGCAACTAAACCGCTCAAACTGGACATTTTTATACATTTATTTTCTGTCGTTTACAATTATGATTTAAATTAAATTCATTATATTCACCAACGATTCCGAATGTGAGGGATAGAGCGAACCCCTGCCCCTCCCCCCAAATATAGACGTTTATGGTTCAGTGGCAGGGTTTGCAGGGTCTCCGTGCATGCATAGTTCAAAAGGCAAAGACATTTGATTTCAGCTGGGAAAACCCTATGAGCTATGAAGCTCTTCGTCGCACGTGTCCGGAATCTCCACTGATGAATGCACCGCATGAGGGGGTTGTTGTGGCCTGAGCTATACCTGGCCGCCTTTGTCTCCCCGGTGCTAATGTTTCCATGCCACTCTAGGTACTCGTTAAAAGCTGAGTAGACCGGTTCAGATATTCGCTGGCGGTGTTGGCCATGAGTGGGAACTGATCGAAGGTCTCCCGGTTCGTGGCACAGTGCAATAGGTGTTCGCGACAGCACTTGCCCCAACAGCCTCTGTAAGCTATACGGGGGATCTTTGTCTCTGTGGTTCTGCAGGACACTTAATCATATGAGCACAGGAACCCCCCCAACAGAGGTGCTTTCTGAGATAAAGACATCAGAAATGATGCCAGTTGTAGGTTCATCATCAGAGACAGAATATTTATTGTCCATGCATCCTCCCAAAGGATTGCACACGACTACAAACGCATTGTATTGAACTAAAACTTTGACATGTTATACGGAACTTTAATTCACTGCGTTTGAGTTATTTTGATGTAATGTGTTGCTTAAATAAAAAACATGTTGGTCAGCTTCGACAAATGTAAAGTAAGGCCCTTTTTTTCGTGCTATCAAATTGACTGACTTTAGTACTAATCGTCCATGATTATTTGAGGGGTTTTTCTCCATCCCCTCTTCTTTTTATTTAACTTGTATACTCAAGGCTTCCTTGTGAAAAAAAATACTCAATATCTCATTGGCCTCTTGCCGGTGAAATTATCAAATTCCTGGAATTGTAACGCCTGTCTGCATACATACATAGGATTTTGTAACGGAAGCAACGCTATTTGAGATCAATTAGATTTTTTTTTCCTAGTAATACACTTTTGATAAGTAAATTATAGAGAGGGGGAAAACAATGTGAACTCTCTCGTGTGAGATGTCTACAAGGCGAGGGCGTGCATTGAGTTTGTTGAGGGTAATTTATGAGTACCGTCTCGCCTCAAGGTATGTGCAGTTTGCTGGGCTCAATCTGGTTCCGTACCTCACTAGACGGGAAGATAAATCAGCTGCCAGGAACTGGTGCTCAGGACAAGGTTCAAGTCCAGGCTTATAGGCCGGAAAGGGATTAGAACCCAAATTCAATACAAACATATAAATTACAACATCAGCTTGAATTTACTCAATTGTTCCAATGTAAACACATCGTAAGTGTATTTTTGCGTCAGAAATACGTTTCGTGATTTTTCCCTCCACTTGTTATTGAACAAAATGTTACCTTTTCCATAATAATTCGGCTATAATTGACTCACTGGCCCCAGGCACCGTGTATGTGCACTATCGTTCACAACAGCCTTGTGTGTGACACGGATCGTGTTTCAAAATTATACAACGGATTGGCACATGTCACGAGAGAGGAGTGCGGGGGTAGGGGAGAGCCGTCGTCTCGTAGATCTGAACCTTTGTTTGTATGACAGCTCCCTGATCATCACCTTAGACATCCGAAAGGTTATTAAGGCCACAATACACAGAGAGGGCACATGTCCACACCCCTAGTCAACGCGGTGTTAATAAGGCATCGGTTTTATGTTGTGTATCAATGGTTTTGTCGCACTGACGTTCCCCGCGCACACTCAATATTTCTCCTGCACGGTATCCATGCCGCAGCCTGCGCTACTCCCACATTCCCACCACCCCCTCCCTGCTGGTTGAGAACAGCTGAAATAGCCCTTCAATAAGTTCAGTCGTAGTGGTGCTGATTCCTGAGAGTGGTGGCGGCAATTTAAAAAACTATAACTATGTTTTGTAATTTACCAGGTAAGGCCCACTGAGTTATGCAGCGTTTGTTTCAGAAGCGACCTGGCCACAAATGATCGCTCGACGCTTAAGTGGCTCATCACGCGGACATTTACAGCAGCCAAATGCCCTAAACGCACATTGATTCCAAATGTGGAGGGGAAAAAAGCCGGAGGACCCGGAGAAAAAATCCACACGACCGCGGGAAGAACATGCACACTCCACGTACAGCAGGCGTCAGGCTCGAGATCGATACCCGCGACCTCCCGCACACCAGGTGAGGCAATTGACGTCTACGCCTCCGTGGCGCCCACCGTTTGTGTCGGGCAGGCTGGCAGCAGGCCGGCGGCGCTGCTGTCGCGGCCGAAGCGGCAGGCGCTCTCCGTGGGCGAGTGGGGGCCCTGGTCTGCCTGGAGCCCGTGCTCCCTCTCCTGCGGCGGCGGCGTCACCCTCCGGAGCAGGCGGTGCGCCTCCAGGTGCGGTCCTGTCGCGTCCCGCCCCTGCTCACCCGCGCTGTAGTCATGTCAGACTCGCCATCGGGCAGCAGCGTCGTTGTCAATTTCTCACTCGGCTGGCTTGGAGTTAGGGTTGGCTACGTACAGTGCGAAAGAAGTTCAATATACATGTACACATTGGCGTAAGGCACTACCGCTAGAGTACCAGATACACGATATGCCTATCCATAATAATCCTATGTTATAGTACCCTATGTTGTTGTACACTATATTGCTCTCATTCTCTGGACAGGTTTGTATCATGAGGACAAAGTAAGGGGCGATGGATGACCATAAACGGAGCACAGGCAGTAGTTATTCCAAGTTAGCCATAATCATCAACATCATTGTTGCCATCATCATCCTAAACCCACTCATTCATTAATTATTAATAGCAAAAATAAATGTTTTCTTGAGCTGATTTGATTTTTGTAGCTAAAGGAACTTCTCCCAAATGCATTGACGATTTTTTAAAATATAATTTCATAGCAGGCTCATAAAACATAGCAGTCCACCACAGTGGACATGATGATGCATGAGAGGGTTAAGACCACAAACATGTCATAGCCAGGTGTCTTATGGGGTTTAAAGTTTGTGTTGAGGCACTGGGCCAGTGCTGCTGAGAATCTGGATAAAAATTACGGGTCACGACCTGAAATTAAAATCCAGGTTAAGTGTAGCTATGAGATGATCACTAGCAGCCTATCCACCTATCACTGCACAAAACTACCACTGAGTGTTAATGTAGCGAAAAAAGCATGAGCGTTGCCTTGTGGAGCTCGGACCATCCATTTGACAGACATGCACAGGGTGAGCAATTTACACACGCAATTATTTGCACTTACATAATCCAGAGGCTGTATTAAGAAAAAAACACCTTAAGTGGTATCAAGTATAGGCATGTAGATTTTTTTCACTTGCTCCCCCAAAAGTGACAGTTCACTTCTGTTGTATTAAGTTCTAAGAAATGCAAATGTTTGCTCTGTGCCTCTAGTGTTGGTTAAACATTTTGGAATATATATTTAATTTATATGTTAAATCGTCAGAAACTATGCCATTAGTTGTGAACTACATGTAACCTGTTTATTCATATTTTTTAAAAATATTATTTCTAAGAACTTTATAAATCACGAGTGACATTTAGCTAAATACCGAATAAGAACTATTTGCAGTTTACTTTTTTTTGGCAGAACTGATTAGCAACAGCGATTGCGAGGATTGCATGGTGCTTTAAAGTTACCGAAGGAGCAATGTTCGTGCTGAACTATGTTTACCTTTGGATCACAAGACAGCAACAACAGGCATTAGTAACTTCGGCAAGGTCCGGCCCTCAGAGTTATGTTCATATTTGTTTATGTGCAGCAACTGGAATGCAAAGCAACGATGACATTTCGTACTAAATTCGCAAGTCTAATGGTAAATTATAGAGCTTTGAAAGGTTCAATATTGAATTTATACTTTTTTAGCAGTGACTTATTTTCTTCCAAAATTCCCACCAAGAGGCTGTTTGAGAATGCAGTCACCGTCTAAACGCGTCCACAGTCTACATGACCTGGTGGTGATTGTGAACGTGCGTTTGCCGATCATTTGTTGCCAATGCTTTGATTGCTATTTGTTTCAACCCACGCAGATTTCCGGACACAGAACCCTGTCAGGGGGATGAGCGCCAGTACCAGGCCTGCAACATGCTGGTGGTACGGTACTAATTATTTTATCTTGAATTTAGCACGGTTGACTACGTACGATGTGAATTAGTTCAACATACATAAAGAAACAAAGATATGAACTGCAGTGATGGAGGTGAAGCTTTTGGTGGATCGTATTATTCGCATTGTCCATAATAGAGGGTTTTTTGGGTTAGATCACGGTAATATAACTATCATCATGGGACCTCCTTTGCCAGCACCAAAATATAAGAATAGGTTTTCCCCTTTTTTCTGGCAACAAAACAGGTGTTAAGATGTTAAAACACCAAACTGATACTTTTTACAAGTGATCATGTCTGCATTAACCACAATACTTGTGGCCAGAATGCAAACAAAAAACGTACTCTGATAATATATGCATTGTCTTTGAAACTGATTGATCCACACCAATTTTGTTGCCAGAAAAAATGGGAAAACCTATTCTCAAATATAAATATGTTGTTAAACTCGCCCTGTGGTGGACCCGGGGTGGCCAGTTTAACGACACAACATTCATATTTGCGCGATCTAACCCAAATAAACCCTCTATTATAGATGATATTGGTCGCAAAAGCCTACGTGTTACACATTAGCATTATTCCACAGATATTACTCCTCTTATCTTTGAGGCTTTCAGCAGCTAATGCTCGGATAATGGGATGAATTTGGTGCTTCCAGGAGACCACGGCCAGTGGTTTCTTACCTGCAGCTAAGCAATGGATAATATGGTGACCCCTCCTCTCTCCGTGGAAAAGTGTGGAGAATGGAGTGATGCCTTTTGGATTATCTGGACCTACGTCAACATCAGCCAAACGAAGAAGTGATGCCTCTTGTCCACGAAATAACATGTCGACAATAAGGAATAATCCATGTAAGGGTGATAGAATTTGTCATGTATCAATTCAGGGTGGTATATAACGGGAAGGGCAGGTAATGGAAGGGCGTTTAAGTGGAGTTTGGATGTAGGAAGAAACACAAATATTTCTCCCACACTACCTCCCAAGAAAATATAATGCCACTAAAACCAAAGTGCGTGAAATAATTGCCAAAGTCATCGCAGGGGCCCAGCCTCTGGCATCATGGCTCTAACTGCCACTGGCCCAGAGGGTGCAATTTCCCCCACTGGTGAGGACTTAGGCACAGGGGTGGTGGAGGGGGGAGGAGAGGGCCCACTGGGAGGCTGCCCCGTGTGCAACAGTGTGGCGCGCCGCGGAAAGCATTTTCGGCTGGAATGTTTAATCGTAATGGCATTGGCCGGAGGTGGCTTTACATTGGCTTCATTCCCAGCAGGGTGATCAACTTAGTTGTGGCACCGAACAATGATTTATCACGCAATTGCCTCAGCAAGAGTCCCATTCAGGTAAAAATTTATGTTATTTTGAGTGAAGAATTCATTATGTCACCTGCTGCTGTTTCCATGGTTTGTAGATATATATATTTAAAAAAGAAAATATTCAATTACACGTGGCCTGGAAGCATTTGCCAATTTTCCTTAATTTCGATGCTGGTGAAAAAATATAATGGGCATTTTAAAGTTATTCATGGAAACAGCAGGTGAGTTATTCACTTCAAATCGAATGATTTTGAAATAATCTGTGTATAACTGCGTAGGTTTTCGCGGTCCTGCTGAATAGCTATCTGACGTGTTTTCTGGTCGCTCTGTGTGTTGTTCAACACGATGTCCAACGTTTCAATCCAGCCAAAACTTTTGTAAAACCTGGAAACACACACCGGAGTGTCGCTTGTATATATTTCCACACATATATGCCTATACTTGTTGAGCAAGGTACCGATTGGAAAATAAAATCACTGTTTTTTTCAGGAATGTCCTCAAGGCTCGGTAGATTTCAGGGAAATGCAGTGCACCTTATACAACGACCGCCCAATCCGGGGACACGGAGGAATATTTCAGTGGACTCCCTTTCACGGAGGTAAACGTTGCCGGGTGGCGATGTGGCCGAGCGGTCGCGCCATTTGCTGCCTGTGGCAGTGCAATACGAGCCTGGCGGCTGTCCTGCTTCATGCCATGGTCGTATGAAATGAAACTACACACCACACGCTTAATGGCGGACGTTATCGATCCCGTGACATCATTCGAGAAGGATTGAGGCCGTGTGTGTGAGCCGCTGCCTTGGTCCAAATTTGGAAAATGTTGAAAAATTACCCGCATATTAATTAAATTGGACAAAACCACAATTTAACATTTCCCCCCTACCTGCGGTCTATACCGATTCGCGAAACTTTGCGAGCATTGCACCTTTGTGATATTAGAATGGCGCAAATTCCATATGTACAAAATGTATTTCCTTGTCTAATGATGGACTGTGTGCGTGTGTATTTTGTAAGAATTTGGTCAAGGACAAAGGTCCCCCGTATAGCCTATATTGTTCGGCCAAGCTCTGTTAGCAAGTTTTTTGGGGCACAGTAATGCAGTCGTTTGTGCACTTGGTCACCCGGATTCAATTCTCAGCCACAGCCAACATCAGTGTGGATAGCGAGAAAAACTAGTCCTGGGCATCCCTTAGATCGACCTCAGCCTTTACTGAATACCTGGTGTGGTAGGTAAACCAGCGCTGGGGAAACAAAGCTGGCACGGGGTGGTGCTTGCCACCCCTTCAAACCGGCCTTAATAGACATTCGCAAATAATACTTGCCCCAATAGCCTGCTAAAGGGTATACACGAGATCCTTGTGAGAATTTGGTGAATATTTAGAAGTGTGGGTGTCAATGTAGTCTAATTTTTCATAAATAGTCCAAGGTCTATGATCTTGAGTCTCCATCTCTACTCCATGAAGTCTTCTTTGTAGAAGCCGAGAGCGTTACGTATTTCCACTTGTTAAATATGCCACTACATTTCACAGTGCTTGCCCCTGGTATTGATGCAGAATTGCCCCTGCCAAAACACAGGGCATTGGCTCTTTGTTCGGAAGCTTATAATCTGCATTCAGCTTAACGCTATGTAATACATTTCATGTTCCATTACAAATTTCAAAAAGTCATTCAACGAACTTACAAGTACATATTCTGCATAGCAATGGGCAGACATTAGACAAAAAGGCTGTTCGAATGCATGCGGTATACAGGCATGTGTTTGATTCTATTTAAAAAATGGTGCAGCTCGGCGATCTGAGTTCAATTCCTGACCACGGCTTACATCAGCCGTGAGCGATATTTTAACTGGTCCCTGAAGAATTGTCGGTCCAACCCCCATGACCGACGTGGCCTGGGGAGAACTTCATCCAGCAGGGGATTGACAAAGATCTGCAAAGAGCATATACAATAAAACATACGTTAAAGAGCCAACACTGAGCCTTCATTTCACGAACAACAATGTTGTCTTGCCCCCTTGCAGCTATAAACCAGTGCGAGCTGAACTGCCTCGCCACGGGACAGAACTTCTATTACAACTTTGGCCGGGTGCTCGATGGGACTCGCTGTGGCATGGACTTGGGCCAACTTTGTGTCAATGGTCAGTGCCTGGTGAGTCCTCTCGTGGTGGTCGTGGTAGTGGTGGTGCATGCATCTCTGGAAGTTCATGCAGCGGCTCAGTTTGTAAATGCATTATTAAAGGCGTGCTGCAGTGTCGCGGTGGTTAGCGTGCTACGTTGTGAACCTGACAGCTCAAGTTCAATTCCTGGCCACGTTGCGAGTGATATCTGAACCGATCCTAGCCCTCCTTCCAAAACCAACCCACGCTGACCATCGTGGTGAAGTATGGCCGAATAATCCCCCATTATTGGCATGGTGTGGGGGGAGGCATTCACGCAGCAAAGGACAATTAATAACCATAACTAAATTTTGATTTAAAGCTTTCGTGACTGCAGGGATTCATATTCTTGGTTCGTTCAGTAAAGTCACGTAGAAGGGAAACAATAGAATAAAAAAATATAAAACAATAAAATTCTCACGACGTTTCGACTGCAACACAAGCAATCATCATCAGGTGTGAAAACCACAACAAGAAATTTTGAAAACGTCGTGAGAATTTTATTGTTTTATATTTTTATTATTTTATTGTTTCCCTTCGGACTGTCCAGTAAATCTGTAACACGTGTTCTGCGTCAGAAGGCAATTAGGCCATGGCGCAGCTTTCTCGCGGTTTAATTCCCAGCAGGGATACGGTTGCAGGCCACACAACAATGCGAAATCTGGCATTCGACAATAAACTTTCCAGCACTGAGAGAGAGGACCGCGTGCCTTTACGGGGAGTGGCATCAAGAGTTCTCTGCTCCCCGGAGGGCTTCAGTGTCACGCCGATGCTGTTAATGGGGGAATCTTTTTTTTAAATGTCTCAAAATCGGCAGCGGTCCTGCGAGGGAGAAACGAGTCGGCGAGCTTTGATGCACAGCAAGGAGGAAAGGGCGGAGTGGTGGATGCTTGTTGTCATCAGCATCGTCGCACTCGAGGGCACGCCGCTGCCCAGCGGCCTCCCTTTTTATTTTAGAAGAGCACCCCACGTGTGCGACCGGGCGCCCAGGCGCGCGTGCGTGGCCGCCGCGCGTCATGTCAAATCCAAGCGTTCGATCTGTCGCCGCCGAGCACGAGTGTCCGTGCACGTGGCACGAGTGCCCATGCACGTGCGCGCCGCGCACTTCCCCGGCGCGTGTCATCGCAGGGCGGAAGTGGCCTGCAGCCTGCCGTTTGCGGCTTTTAGCATTGCTCCGGTTAAGACGACACCGCTCCCCACGCGGGTTTCAGTAACCAGCTTGTCTTGGCACCGACTGTGTGCTTACGTGGACGCGTGTTTGTTGTCACGTCATAAAGGCACCCCTACCCCCCCCCCTCATGAGCTTGCACAATCGGGAACCGTTCCAGCGCTGCAGCTCGGGGGCATTCACATTCGTGGCACTGATTCCCTCGCCTGTTGCTGCCACCCCGTGTTTATCCTCTCACGCCTCGTGCACTTAACTCCCTTTCCAATGCCAACAACTTGGGTTGCAGCAAGTTATTGGGGTGGGGCGGTGTGATCCTGATGTGTTTATGCGCCTCCCAAGACAACACTTCTTCATACAACTTTACAGGTCCAAACAAACTTGTTCGATGCACTTTTTTGTACGGCCAAAAAACTGTGTCGTAGTCAACAATATTTTAATATTTATTGGGAGCACTTAACCAGTTAACGTTATTTCACTAAAATAATTTGTGAACAGTAGGTGATCCGAGCCATAAATGTCAGCCTCCATCCCCACCTGTACATAGCACCGATCAGAGGCTGTGGATTGAGAAGGATATACTTTTAAGACCGAGGGGAGCGGTGGCACAGTTGTTAGCGTACTACAAACCCGGTGGCCTGAGTTTTATTTCGGGCCACGGCTAACGCAAGTGGCGAGTGAAATCCAAAACCGGAGCTGGGACTGCTAACTCCAAACCTCCTTCACCAAACCATCCTGACCAGCATGGCGAGGTAGAGTTAAAACAACTTCCCTGACTGATCTATGTATGAATGTTGAACCTTTTTCGCACTGCACATAGCCAACCATGCAGTGTGTTGTGGCACGGGTAGGCCGTCATCCAGCAGTGGATTGACATAGCATTAATTAATGTTGTTATTACGAGCAACGTCAACATTCCACACGGGTGTGTCGAGTCATAAGCAATGTTAACGGATCGTCATGCAACGTATTTGTCTAATTGTACGTGACCTCTTCTCAATAGACGCTTTGCTAACAAGCGCTCGCCCTCTCTAACACGACAACAACGGTGGATGCGTGCGCCTTGCGGTGCGCAGACTGCGGGTTGTGACCTCATCCTGGGATCGGGAGCCAAGGAGGATGCCTGCCGCGTGTGCGGGGGCCACAACGAGACCTGCCAGCACTTCCGGAGCATCTTCATGTCTTCGCACCCCTCTACCGGTGACTGTGCAGACATTAACAACAACAACAAACAACAACGGTATCGTTTACACATATTTATTTATTTATGGTGTCTAAATGCAACTGCATCTCAAGACTTTTCACACGTAAACTACGTGAAGGTGAGAAGTGCAGAGGGTGGTGGTGGGTCCCGGGAGGGGCGGTGGTGCACGGGGTGCGGTTCAGGGCCTTGACAGGGAAACTCATGGGGGAGAGAGAGCAGTGAACGCACAGTGATGGCCCAACGGCGTGCGGGCGACCCACGCGTGCAATCGCTGTACCAGCTTCTTGTCTCACGATGCCACACCGACTATGCCTTATGGGGGCGGAGCGGTGGCGCAGTGGTTCGCGCACTGCAGTACGAACATATATATGTTAAAAAAGTATTTTAAAAATATAAACTATTTTTATTTTACCAGGTAAGGTCCACTATTCAATATCGCTCTTGTTCAGAAGCAACTTGGCCACAAATGGTAGCTCAACGAAGTGGCTCATCACGTGGAAAATTATAGCAGCCAAATACTCTAAACGCATGATCCTGAATGTGGAGGGAAACGCCGGAGGAACTGGAGAAAAATCCACGCGACCTCAGGGAGAACATGCAAACCGTGGCACCCTGAAGCCCTAAGTTCAATTTCTGGTCGCAGAAAATGTCAGTGGTAGAATGATAAATCAACCGATATCGTTCAAGGAGGTTATTTAATCATACTTTACCACGCTGGTCAGTGTGGGTTTGTAAAGACGGGTCTCAGAACTGCTATCAGATATCGCTCACTGGTGATGAACATTAGCCATAGTCAAGAATCAAACTCAGGTGTAATCCAATTGTAATAACTTAAGCATCTAGATTTAGTTTTTCCGTCGCTATGCAGCCTGTAACTGGGACACAATTACTCTGGGCCATCTGGAGTGGCACTTAATTTAAAAAGATGAAAAGAGTCAAAACTGGAGAACAATCTTCTGTCGCCAACGTAAAAGCTTAGCGCTCACAACATTGTTTTTCTCACGTTGTACTTAGCTTCAAAAGTTGCGCCCTGTGCCAAACCATAGCGATTTTTTTTCGTTTTAATGTTGAAAAATTCGTGCAGTCTTACAAGCATCAAAGGAAACCGAGACACGGCCACGTAACCTCTCTTTGTTCCCATGTACCTAACGCAACGCTGTGGGCTTCATCTTCTGTCCTCTAAAGTCAGAAGGTGGCCCGCAGCGAATTGCTCCACCGTATTCGTTCGTTCATTTGCACAGAATTTAGTGATTAGCTGTGCAAAACTCGTGACCTGTAACCTCAAACGAGGTACAGATATCCATCGTGTTATTCCACGTGTATCAGATGTACCCTGTTTGCACGCACCTTCCAGACAGTGCTGTTATCTGAAAAAGAAAACAATTATGCGATATACCGCATCAATTTTTTATTTTATATATTTTTGTTTAATCCCCTGCGTGTGAGTGAAGTCAAACTAGACCGTATCCAAAAGTGGTGGTGGACCAAAGGATGAGACTGATGCTCTTAACAGATACTGAAAAAACACCTTTGCGAAATGTGCTATTTCCCACGGTTAATTATGACCATCAGCCGCTGTGGGGCAGTGACACGGTGCCTCGAGTATAATGTGCTACGCATCTGTCCACCTGAGTACGATTCCTGCCTGATGCAAACATCAATGGCGAGTCATATTTGAAACGGTTCTGGGTCTTCCCCTTCAACCAACTAACTTGCGGGTGAAGTATGGTTAAACAACTGTTGTGACTGATGCAACGACTTTCAACAACCCAATATTATTCTCATGCGACACGGTTGTTTTTGCTCTGATTCCTATATGCTTCATTGCCGTATTTTATTTTATTTGTTTTGCTTTTGTCATTTTCGTGGCCCAGGTCATTCTTGGAAATTAGACTCTGTCCTTGTCTTTTTATTTCTAAACCTGTTTAATAAATAAACTTGATAAACCTGCACTAACCAGCATGGTGATAAAAAAAAAACCTCATGACTGCATGGTGTGGAGAGGCCTTCATTCAGAAGTGGAATGATAAAGGCCTCATCATAAATTACAAGTGCCTGCTGTTGCATGGTGTGTGGGTTGCTGAAGGAAGGTGCCAAGGACCGGTTTAAATAAAACTTGCGACTTGTGTTAGCCACAACCAGGGATCGTACTCAGGGCATCACGATGACATTTCAGATGTACCACTAACAAAGCCTACTATTTTGGCGCGTTAACTTTAATTCATGGCTGGGGAGAGGTCACAGAATAAGACGGGGAGGTCGTTTCCCCCCACCTTTCCCCCCCCCAAGCCGACTTCTGAAATTTTAGAAGGGAAATAAAGGAAGTGCCTAATCTCACACGTTCCTTGTTGCCTTTTCCAAGATTTCACGGGACTTTATTCACATTCACGAATTTTACAAATCTGCGTAACCACAATCGTAGGCCCCAAACGAAGAACACATTTTGTGAGCAAATCCCGCGGCGTGTCACAGCGCTGCCGCTGTTTCCCTATCTCCCCCGCAGGCCACTTCGGCTACAGCGAGGTGGCCACGATCCCGGCCGGTGCCACACACATCCGCGTGAGCGACAACAGTCGCAACTACCTGGGTGAGTGGCAGATCCGTTGGGAGGCGGCGTATGAATGTGTGTATGTTTGTTGAACTTCTTTCGCGCCGTACACGGTAGCTATCGAGCGTGTGCAGGCGGTGAGAACTGCGACGTGATCCATGGGACCAGTGAGGGCCCAAGTACCCGGGCAATAACAAGGGCCTAGTTTTTATTTAAAGCTTTCGTGACTGCAGGGATTCATATTCTTGGTTCTTTCGGTAAAGTCACGTAGAAGGGAAACAGTAAAATAATAAAAATATAAAACAATAAAATTCTCACGACGTTTCGACTGCAACACAAGCAATCATCATCAGGTGTGAAAACCACAGCAAGAAAATTTGAGAAAAAAACGCCGAGTGTGTTGCTGCTGACACCTTTTAAAGGATTTATTGTGCCCCCCCCCCACTCCCCCTAGAGAATTGTGTTTTGACTGAAGTAGGGCTGGAGGGAGGGGGGGTGTTTAACGTGGACCATTTCTACGCAGCCACACTTACCCATATATAGGCCTACCTGAAATTTTCACAGGGTCCCGAGCCAGCCTGTGTTTACGTAAGGGAAATTCACGGGCGGCTGTTTTGGGCTGGTGCATTTTTATTTCTGGTCGAGATCCAAGCTGAAGAATAAACAATTATTTTCACATAATTTGTATTTCAAGGGCATGCTGCCATGGTGTAATGGTTAGTAAATTCTGGATTTCGCAATTCACAATCCAGAATTTATTGGATTCCAATTTGATTCAGGCAAGTTTTTTTCTGAAATCACCCTCCCCCCCCACCACCATCTCTGTCCAGAAACTGCTCACATAACAAACACCAGCAGTGTGGTTGGCTACGTACGGTGCGATAGAAGTTCAACATACATACATGGAAAACACCACAGTTGGTCTGTTGGCAGGTTGCACGTTGGTGGGGTAAAGTTGTGGGGGATACTCGCCTGGCCACCGTGGGAAAGTAGGCCAATTACAGTACCATTCTAGAGGGGTTCTGCAGAGCTCCTTCTAGCTGGTTTAACGCGTAGGCTTTCACGACCGATATCATCCATAATAGATGTTTTTTTTGGGTGAGATCTCTTTCTATTGGAGGCCCTTTTTGCCAGCAATGGAGAGAGCAAGAAATTGCAGGGCTGCGCTTTTACCTTTTAAAGCACCGGTCCAGTGATTATTTTATTTTTGCTTGGTTACATTTGGGGTTAACACTGTGCTTTATGTTATACCACAATAGTGGAAATATTTATAAGTAGCTTATTACAATATCCCCCTATTTGAGTATTTGTGTACTGGAAGAAAGGATATTGATTTCAATCAATGTATTCTCACAATATAACCATTTATGAACTGGAATAATTCCACGACCATGAGAGTCAATCAATAAACTTGATACAATGTTTCAGACCGCAGTCATTAGGGCTGGCGGTCACCTGAGAGAGACACGTCCTACAAAGTTGCTTTGCTGGCCACACTTTACATTCACTGCTAATAAAATAAAATAAATAGTGAGAATTGTATTGTTTTATATTTTTATTATTTTATTGTTTCCCTTCTACGTGACTTTACCGAAAGAACCAAGAATATGAATCCCTGCAGTCACGAAAGCTTTAAAGAAAAAAATAAATGATTCCCAATGAGCACCAGTAAGGTGACCTTTTCTCTGGTAAACTTGGCCGCCGATCAAATAGCAGGAATATATTTTTTTCTCCGTAGCTGTTGATCAGGTCTTACTGGTTCTAATGACTACGCTCCTGTGAAGGTTTTGGCATGTCCCTGGGCCAGACAGACAGATGGACATTTGTGGATATATATATACCCCGTATTCTCCAGATTATAAGATGCACCCCAAACTCATGGGGGCATTTTGGAAAAAAATAATGCCCTCCCCCCCAAACTGGGCACATTTATTAATTTATTTTCAATAGAGAAAATAAAGAAATTAATTATACGCACCCACGGTTCTTAATTGAGGGACAAAGCGAACCCCTGCCCCTTACCCCCAAATGTAGAAGTCACCCTGCGCCTATGACTAAATACGGTACGATGGAGAGGCATCTTTCATATTATTATTAGTGTGCTGCTTTAAAGTGGGGATCAATGTATTTTGTAAGATTATGCTTCTCGTCCTCAGTGTGTACAATGTATTGCTATAGAGAACCCATCTTTCGGAAGACAATTCTGTACAAGTATATTAAAATATGTTTCCAATAGATCATATATATTCCGGATTATTGAATTCACCAACAACTTTTTTGTAAAATACAGGGGATAAATGTGCTCTATAATCTGGAGAGTAGGTTAATTATATGCGTGTATAGCAGAGAATTAGATGAGAAAACACAATCTTTATTTTGGAGGTTTACGATCAGACGGTTCCAGCTCTTCCTGTTTCTGCTTGACCTCAGTCATCTTGACGTTGTCCAGGCACGCTCGCTGCTCCAGACGAGCTTCCTTGAGCCACCTTTTCTCCAGACCCGGTGGTCGTGGGAGCTTAATCATCGCTCCTTCCTTTTTGGTATTTTCAGAAGGGGACTTGTGTTTCAATTAACCGTTATTTGCACTTCAACAATTGCTAAATTGAAAGTTAAGGTCTATGTCTTTGGTATCATCTTGTTAAGGCCCAATAGGAGGCCCTTCTGAAAAACAGAATAAATGCACAGTCGAAAAATGCCAGCAAGCTTTATTTCAACATTGATCTTACCGCCACATTTAATGTTTGACAATGATATGTCGGAATATAACTCTGCAAGAGTACATATGCTGCTCTATAATGTGTGGATAAGAGGTCAATTGAAATAAATGTCAGAGGTAGCTCTGATATATCCACTTTCCGTGGGCCCTTGTCTAACACGATGGGGTTGCGCTGTTCTATGAAAGGTCCCAACGGATACTTCATCTCTTGACGTAATTCCGAGAGCACAGTCAGCATAAAATTGAACATTTGAAAAAAATAATACAGTACAGTATTCAATTGTTCCTGCATCACTGGTCTTACATTTAAATGCTCTCACTCATTTAGTGATTATGTTTGTTTTACTGAACCTGTTATTAAAGTAAAAATACCCCAGCATTGCATTGATAATGTTTACGAGCAGTGTTGACCTTATGGAGATAATGGTTAGGTAATGTGATAAAGTATTGTGAACACATTAATATGGCTGGGTAGTGCTGTAGCAGAACCTGCCATACATTCAAATCCATCTAGCTCCTGCGCACGAGCCGATTTTATCTCTCCATGTCCATGGCGGACGTGCTGTCATGCACGTTTCCCTCATATCTACCACTAGCCGTCAATCTTTGTCGCAACATGCTCTGCCCTAGCAGATGCATTTTTTCTTCCCTTTACAGCCAACACGATGTCGTTAGCCTGCGTGCGTTCTCTAATCCCGTGCGTTGGATGCTTGGCCCCTAACGCAAAGTTGTCGGCCTGCAGCGCTGATGAATGGCCACCGTCGTTACGTGATCAACGGGAACTGGGTGATCGACTGGCCGGGCGAGTACGTGGTGACGGGAACCAAGGTGCTGTACAAGCGCTCAGCGGACAAACAGGAAACCATGGAGGCGGCTGGGCCGACGGGCGAGGACCTTCACGTCATGGTGGGGCTCGCCACATCCTTCACTTGCACGGCACATCGCATCTAGTGCCCTGCTTCCCCGCCTGTCCAACTATAGGTGTAGCAAATGCTCCGATTTATCCATCCGCGTTCATTTACTGATGCTCGCGTTTTTGCACGCAAGCGACACTCGCATTACATTTAGCCTCGTGGAGTGAACAAAACTGACAGCGATGAGATGGGACAAAGGAGAAATTATGTGAACGAGATCATGGAAACGAGACAAAAAAATAATCAACTCTTTGTGAGTCAAATCACGATGCTGAGTTGCAACAATTCATCAAAATTGAGCCTGGTTACTACTTGGATGGGAAACTGTCTCGGATTTACAGGTGTTGTGAGGCTTGGATTGGATGAACCACGATATGCTTCGAGAAATTGTTTCTTGAATCTATCTGTGTGGAGCACTGAGTGTTACCCCCTGATATGCGTGAGTTATCTCTGGATACTCCGGTTTCCTCCCACATGCCAAACACTTGTTTATAAATTTGGCCAAACATCCAAATGCAGGTCCCTCCTGATAAAGACTCTTGAGACTCACTTTCCTGGATAAAAAAGGGATTTGTTTTTATGACTGTTAAGACAACCACTGCCACTGACATTCAATTACACGCTGCAAATTGATTTGCATACTACTTGACTTCTTCTGCCAACCACGTCAATAATTATTAGACAAGAACTGCCGTCGAAAAACACAAATGTACACCAGCTACCAATCCATGACAATTTCATGGAAATTAACATTCCAAAGTTTGAATGTAGCATTACACACAGGGGTGTATGGCAACAATTTAGTTGAGCTGGCACAGGTATTATTTTAATTTGCTGTTGTGTAATGTTGCGCTCAGGCAGATGGCAATGCTTTCTCCGTAGTTCCATGTGTAATGTGTTAATAGGCAGTCACTGGAACTTCTTAAATGCACAGCAAGCCACTGCCATTGTCATTTCACAACAGAACTATCCCTGCCATCGCTGAGATTCAAGTCTGGTTCGTTGAAATTGTGAAATCAGTGCCATCTGTTATTTTTGTTCATGGCTGAAGGCCTTCCTCTCCAGTGAGGGGGCTAAGCCCAAGCAAACCGAGCAAGAATGTAGGGCCCCAAACAACTCAAGGGGCCTTGGATTCTCTGTTGTTGTCTCCAGTTCTCTTATCTCACTGTGTCTCTATCTCTTGTCCATATCTCTTCTGTCGGCTCACTGGGATTTTATAAATAGAACGGTAGCTTCAAAATATCATATCTGCTTTGGGCGCCCAATGAGCCAGCACCACCACTGTTCCTATGCTGGCACCATGGCATCTGGTACATTTTTATTTAAAACACTGCTCTGATTTCATGGCTTTATCTGATGTTTGGTCATTCCTGAGTGCACATTTTTTCTCTCGGCTACCATTCCGTTGTTGGGTTTGCACCACTGGTTTTGTACTGCAGATTAGAGACTCAAAAGTTAGGTTCATCTCACTGCCGAGCTCTTCCAGTTCTCCCACGCCACATATTTTAGGACTAAACACCCTGCATTTGGTCGAATACAACTCTGGGGGTTCCCACATAACCACAACATCCACCACCTACCTACCCATCCACTTACTAACCAACCCATTTACCCACCGACCCATCCACCCTTCCATGCACTCACACACCCAACCTTTGCGAGGCAGCCTGAGTTTACAGTTGAATAGAAGTGTGTGCATGGTACACTCCTTTCGACCATGTATGTGCTCTCTGGCTTTACCAACTAGCACAGACTAGCATGGTGAAGTATGGTCAAACAATTCCCACAACCTACATCGCATGTGGGTTGCTCTCATGCAGTCGTACGTGTACACCTACCACTAAACTTCATTTCAAAAAGGCAAATTAACTTCAAGGACAATGCATATATTATCAGAGTATGTTTTTTGTTTGCATTCTGACCACAAGTATTGTGGTTAATGCAGACATGATTCCTTTTAAAAGGTTTCAGTTTGGTGTTTTAACAACGAAACACCTGTTTTGTTGCCAGAAAAAAGGGGAAAACCCTATTATCATATTTTGGTACTGGCAAAGGAGGTCCCATGATGACTTAATTTGTGTTTTCCCACATGCTCATTCCACAGGGCAGGAGGTGTTTGCCATGTATTCAGAGTGAATTTAATGGCAAAGCCATCAATCAGTGATTATCAGCTGCGGCACTGATAAAGTAACAGCTTCGGCAGACTACCAAACATCCCGCATATTTGAACAAATAAGGGATTTTTTTTAATTCAGTGACCGAAATAACAAAAAAACGTATCCATCCGTCTATGTGTTCTCCACAGTCATGTTTTTCAGCTAAATTTGCTCAAATGAGCCAGGCAGCCCTGGACCAGACTCTCACCCCTCGCCAGTCTCATCAGCAACAAGCTCAATCCACTTTGTTGGGTGACCCAATGCCACTGAGTAGCTCGCTCCCTCTGCCTTGTTTGTTTCGCCAGCATGCGCGGCTTACATTGGCAGTATTTGTGCAAAAAAACGGGAACACCTCGCAAACGATGCTCAAGAATGTTTTAATAGAGAGGGTGACCTAGATCGGCACGACCTGGGTCAGGGAGCCAAGCGGATCTCTCTGGAGTGACATGCTGGGTAGGATGTTTTTTTTTGTATTGTTCTTAAGGATACAGTCATGACCTCTTTGCACAGTTAAGAGTTGGGCCCTGCTGCGTCTGTTGCCGCTCTGGTGGCCGGTGCATCTGGATCAACACTTGGGAGGACACGCACACGCATGCGGGCCCCGGAATTCTAACCGGCCTGCACCACTATCTGATAAGATTTTGGGCTTTCAGCACTCGTCAGGTTTTTCGTGTCAGGTCTCTCAGGCATCAGCTTCTCGTTGGGGGGCGTTCCCCTACAAATCCTTCCTCACACATCCGCAGTTCCCACCCCCCAACCTCCTCCTCCCCCCCACCGCCTCACCTCTCCAGTGTTCCGACCTCTTGACCTCTCCCCGCTCCTCCTTCGTGTTTCAACACAAACGCATCGTCTGCCACCACAGTGGGAAAAAAATATATAAACCTTCTCAAAGGAATGCAACTATGTGGGGGCACTTGCGTGGAACCTACCAACGTACAGGGAAAGAACGCAGCTGAGGTCGTATTTTAAAATGTTAGTGGTACCGTCCCTTAAATATGGTTGCACTGTTTTGCATTATTACAATATTTTCTTACAATTTTTTACATCAATTCCACCTTGGGTGTTTTTAAACGCTTTTTGTATGATTTTTTTACATTACCCCCCAAGTCTCCATTGCCTCACTCTTGTGGTCTTATAATGGGCTCTTATCTGGTTCTATAAAATGTATCGAACCATTGATTTTATGATTAAATCGACTGCAGATGATGGCACACAACACAATGCTGGACAGGCACCATGCGTAGCTATCAAGCGAGCAATATTGTCTATTTGTACCTTCATCATGCAGGAGTCTCAATTTCATTTGTTTCAACCAGGTGAGAACCCAAGAGACCAGGATGGCCTCATTTGCAAGAGTAACCTGGAGTAACCAGTTTACCTGTGTGACTCCGAGGTGTTTTTGAGTTGTACCGTATATTGCCTTGCATGATGCCCGACGTTTCACTGCACTTGCTGGATGCTTCTTCAGTTCCTATCGGAGGATTTGTGCTTCTATTGTATGAATTTAAGAAGTTCCACGTTCCTAAGAGATGTAGCGGGGAAAGGTGTTTTTTTATAATCTGTACTGGGCTTCTCCACAGGTGCTATTCCGTGAGCAGAACCCTGGCATTGAATATGAGTACTGGCTGCCCAGCGAGAGGCACAGCCGCATACAGGAAACGCAACGTGCTCTCCTGGATGCGGGCTGGCCCGCCGACCTGCTGCCCTGGCCACCGGTCATCAGCACGACCCCTCCTACCACCACCACTACTGCCACGACCACCACCACCACCCCATGTAAGTGCGTGTTTGATGAATAATTCACAACCGAGAGATAGCCAAGTGGAACAGATGTTATTTTTGTATTCATCAGGTAAGGCCCACTGAGCTGTGTAGCTTTTTTTCGGAAGCGATTTGGCCACAAATCATAGGTCAACGAAGTGGCTTATCATGTGGAAATGTATCGTAGCCAAATACTCTAAACGCATGTTTCTAAATGTGGAGGGAAAAACTTTGAGGACTCGGAGAATAATAGCAGGCGTCAAGGTCGGGATCAAACCCACTACTGCCCGTATACCAGGCGAGATAGTTAACATTTCTCCACCGTGGCGTAGAGCGCTAAGTTGGCAACCACCAAGATCCCGAGTTTGAATGCAGGAGGTCACATCTGGTTAAGCCGGTTTGTCACATCTAGTAAGTTTATGGATTCTGCCTGGCCGGTCACAAAATTTTTCTTCAATTCTCAAATTAAAATATATTGTTTTTGACTGCCACATGACAAAAATTATTCTCTGTAGCAGGGCAGGTGATAAGTGTTGCCGTCTACCATGGGAAACTTTAAGGGAACTCAGAGGTAGCTTTATGATATCAGCTTCAGTAGGGCGTTCTTCATCACGGAGGGTTTCACTCCTCTGAAATATTTCTAATTGGATTCAAAATCAAGGTGTCAGTTTGCTCAAACGGAAAGCACACACTTACGGCAGTAGCTACAGCCAGTGGTGAAAACTCCAGATTCGTATGGTGGGGGCAAGTTATACAAAGGACAACTGCTGTTGATTTCTCAGAAATTGTTACTCATTTGATTAACTCCAGAGTGGGGCTGAGTGTATCCCTGACCAGGGATTGAACTCATGATTGCTTTTGAGACAGATGCTATTCCAGACCTCTATCAATTACACTTTGGAGGACTGCATCTGTAATTATGTAAAAGAACAAGCTTAAATTACTTTACCTCCATACATTACCACGAAGGGAATCTATACATACCCAGGTTATGTCTGAGTTGGTAAAGGAGCAGGCCCCGAATAATTTAACAGCACGAGTTCAAAAGCTGGCCATGTTTGAATTGGGCAATCGTCACCATTCTGGAGTTGGTAAAAGTGAGTATCAAGTTGGTGAGAAGTGAGAAGTCAATTGTGTTTTTTTCCTTCGGCGATCAAATACTGGTAACCTAGCAGTGCAATGTGGAATTTTTAACCACTTGCTCAGGAAGCACCAAACTCAACTTGAGCATGGGGACGCTATTTGTTTTACGTTCCCCGGCGTAAAATATATATCAACAGTATCACGCGCTTATAGCATACGAAGGGACGTCTTATGAAACAGCAGTTCAAATGAAGTGAAAAGGAGCTACAGTACCTGTTTTGCTGTTGGTCTTAAATGACTGGACGAAAACACAACCATTGACAACATGTTGCGCTCTACAAGTCGATGTTCAATTAAAAATGTTTGCAGCTTCAAAGTGTTTTTTTTTTAATGTGGTGGCTCTAAGATTGCTTTCCCTTCTCAATATGATGCAGATCGGCCTCGCTTTCCACATGGCTGGCCAGGATTTTGGCCACACCAACAACCACATCAACAACCTCAACAGCAGTCCCACCCACCTGACCAGCAGCAACCCCACCACCAGCTACACCATCATTATCCTCATTCACAACCTCATCACCATCCCCATCAGCCTCATCAGCAATCCCAGCTGCAGATGCACCAGCCTCACCAGCAGCATCAGCAGCAGCCTCACCACCAACATGAGCAACCGAGGCACTATCCCCACGAGCCTCATCAGCAATCTCAGGTGCAGATGCACCAGCCTCACCAGCAGCATCAGCAGCAGCAGCAGCCTCACCACCAACATGAGCAACCGAGGCACCATCCCCACGAGCCTCATCAGCAATCTCAGGTGCAGATGCACCAGCCATACCAACAGCCGCAGCAGCCGCCCCCCCACCACAAACCTCTCCATCATGAGCAGCACCACGAGCAGTCGCACCAACCTCAGCAGCCCCCCCCGGAGCGCCAGCGCTACGGCGCTCCCCCTGCACACGGGCAGCAACGCCCGCACGCCAGCGCCGTCGCGAGCTACGGAGACCACCGCCAGCACCAGCAGCAGCAGCAGCACCAGCAGCAGACCCCCAACCGGGTCCCGCAGAGTGGCCAGCAGGGGCACGGCGCGGCAGGGCCCCGCGACGCCGCGTCCCCTCCGCGCCACGACGTCCAGAACTCGGTGCAGCAGCGCTACGAGCCCCCACGGAGCGTCCTGCGGCCACGCCTGCCCCCGCCTCCTCCCCCAGGTGAGCGCCTGCGCGCGGCGCCGCGCACGCCTCGCGAGCGCTTGCACGTTCGCAGAAAGCTCATCGCGAGCGACCCCATCACCATCCCCATCTGCCTCATCATCGGCAATCCCAGCTTGCAGATGCATCAGCCTCACCGACAGCTCCGATTGATTGGCACGGTTGGATACGTACGGCGCGAAAGAAGTTCAACATACCTTAACATGCATGCTCCACGAGCGAGCGTCGGTGAAGCGGCCCTCCAGAGTTGAACAAAAAGGATATTATGATGCCGCGTTGGCACACAAGCACAGGTAGAAAAAGTCTACGCGCTCGTCAATGACTCTCCCTCGAAAAGAACAGACGTAGAAGAGGTGGACCTTTTCGGGCAATGACCCATCGTTCTTTCCTTGACGGGATGCCGTTACCCGAAATGTCACAGAGTCAAGGCCCAGGGTTTGGTTCCAGATGTCACTCACCACGGATGTAAGTCATGGGCAGTAATCTAACTCGGGTCACCAGGTGCATAACACAGTTTGCTAAACACTGCACCGCCGTTCCACCCTCCAGAGACCGCATACTCTGTTGCAAAAACCTGATCCGACTTACAAAAATGTTAATGATGGAATACTTCCTTTAGATTTTTTACTGAATGTATGCATTTAGGATGCAGCGAAACTATTTTAAGCCAAAATTTACAACACATGACAGTGTCCATGAAGTTACAGTCACCTACGATCGGAAAGCTTACTGGTTGAACCAATGCATCAATTTCCGGCACACGACGACAGCACATGTGGAAGCTGCCGTCACAGAGGGACAGCCCCATTTGGTGGAAAGCGGCAAGTTACTCCTCGCCGTAGTAACAACTCGCGAAGGTGCGCTCACAACCAGTAGGAAGGCCCGACTCGGGCCATGCCTGCGTGTGCCACTTGACCACCACATGGCCATACAACCTTGTCCACGGTAAGTGAGTCGGCAATATTGGGAGAAGTGAGTCGACAATTTTGGAAGAAGTTAGTCGACAATTTTGGAGGAGAAAAAAAAGAGGGGAAATGTTTTGTTAAAAAACACGACGAGTTTATTTTTCTCAGCTCCACAAACGGAACCCAGCGATTGTCCTCGTAACATTTGACTCGTAATGGAACACCGCTTTCAACACCGCCCGCACTCTGGCTTCTCTCTATTAAAGCAGGGCTAGGGTTTCAATTGCTTCCGCAAACCGTGCAGTGAGTGGGCCCTGTCCTCTCAGCCTGTGGTATGCAGCGCAACTCCCGAGGAGTGACGTGCAAGTCGCCAACAGATTTACCCCCGTGTATTTCTGCGCAGTACTGCTTGGCTAACAGGACCAATTTGAACTGACAAACACAGATAATAGGACCCGTCCATAGCACCACCCACCACATGAACTCAGATATAATCCCAATGCGGAGCTATTTTCACAAAGAGTATTTAGCCTCAATGACGCTTGCACAGTGCGTTATTTCAGCCGGAGAAGTCCACAAAACGCTGATCTGAGAATGATTTTAGCACGACGCCAAACTCATCTCGCCTTTACAATTAACCAAAAGCACACTGGCACGCATCAAATTTTTATAAACACGTTCATTGGATTTATAGTTATATAGGGTACAATAATATAGGATTATTATGGATAGGCATAACCATGTACTCTATTGGCAGTGCCTTACGCCGACAATCCAAACTCCACGGCAGCCTAGCAGCGTTCCAGGAAAAAATATATAAGTTAGAAATTAAGTCCTGAGCTTTGGTGAGTAAATCATTGCCAATGCCGCCGCATTGCCAAGACGATTACAGATGCAGCAAAGCAAAGGGGGGACGCGGGAGAGCGACACACTGCGCTCTCAAGCCTTGTGGCACAGCACGGCACTCAGGTGCAAGCCGCCGTGGTCACGCATTGGCGGCAGCGGGAGCAGCCGTGGGCCCCAGGAGTCTTTTGAATTGAAGACATACGGCAGGAATAAGCCGCTTATCGTTTGAAGATTGAGAGATTTTGGCGAGTTGTGCAGGTGCACGAGCCAACAGATTTGTTATCGTTATAATAAGTACAGTGGACACCCATAAAATATTAAAAATGCTTTTTTCAGGTTCAAATACCATTAGTGTGTCGTGACATACTCACGCAATGGCTCTAATTATGATGGCCAAGTTCTTTTTAATCACAGCTAAAACCCAACAGCGAGATAAGAATTAAACCAAATGGAGCACCGTTTCCCATTTCCCTGGTTTGTGATGTGTAAAATCATGCTGTTAATTGGGAAATTCTCTCGCGAGTGGCTTTAGCGATCTGTATCTTGTTTTCTGATGCGTACTTGCCTCGGTGCATCACTCTAGACATTAAACTCGAAACACGCAGCTGTCGTGGCCTTTGAATCGATAACAAGCCAGAAAGCTCTTTCCTCCCCACTTCTCTCCCTCGGATACAGTTTATTTATTTCAGTTTATTTATTTATTTGGTATAGCCCTGTGAGCCATTCGGCTCTTGAATCGGGTGCAACCACAACAAACAAACAAAAACAAAAACACGAACAAGAAAACATCTTAAAGTGACTATGTGACTGTGCAAACAGAAAATCCATGTAAAAAAACATAAAAATATTCCTGTAAATATTCCTGAGTCACTGTGGTGACTCAGAGGAGGAAAATAACCAAGCTTAAAACTTTTTCTCAAGCTACTTCCAGGTGTTGAAATTATCTTCCAGGTTTAAAAATGCCTGCCTAATTTTCCCGCTGACATTTCGACATGGAGTTTGAACCATCTCATCTTCACACCTTAGCAAAAAAAAAAGGTTCTGCTTGTTTTTCTGAGCAACCTCTTGAGGCGTTTTGGTAAATGTCATGAAAGGGATTATTTTTTTACCCGAAGTCCTTCAGCTGTAGCTGATGATTAATGGGAACAATCCAATATTTACAAATCTCTCAATGAAGAATTAAGATGAATGACATTTTATTGAACGGAATTTATACATTGTGTCGGTCCCGACGATTCGATTGTCGTGATTCAGTTCAAGAATGGATTATTTTTTTTAATGTTGCAGTGAATATTAGTGTCTCTAGCTGTGAGGATCATGTAAACCCAATAAATGCAATTGACGTTTATAGCTAAACATAAATTCTTACACGCGTGACCCGATGCACGTATCGTGAGCTTTAGAATCAATATTGATCGATACATCACTCCAGCCTTAAATGTATTTATACCAGGAAACGTTCTTAAAATGTGCATTCTTGCCCTTCAAATATAATATTACGGCATTGTCATGGGAGTCCAATCCACGTTTTTTTCACCAAAAGAAAGTTCAAATCTAATAATATGTTCTGTCAATTTCATGTGACGCAAAAACATGTCGTTTCTGAGAAAATCGTCGGTATGATAATGGTTTCTAAGGTTTGTTAATTTTCCAATTTGTTGTTTGACAGAATATTGCTCACGGTGCAAGAAGGTCCGAGGAAGGTCAAACAGGATCAAGCAGTTCTGTGAGAAGGATTTCGGTGAGAGGAAATTTACAAGGGGAAAATTCCACGCGCAAAAAAATAACCAAATCACTGAAAATAAGAAAAGTTAATAACTACACGGGTGGGCGTTTTGGTTAGAGCATCTGACTCAGGCAGGAAGGTTCCAATATCAGATCTTGGTCAATGGACACCTCAACCTACCACCACCTTAGGGTGGATAAAATAAATACTGCTTTGTGGAAAGTCACCTATGCAGAGAATTGTCACCACCATAGCACATGCCTATGATAAAATGGCAGGCTTGAGCCTGGATAGCATTTGTATGGGTGACCATTATGCATAGAACAGATGCTGTTGGCTGCTGCAGAGCTAGATTGTCAGTAGAGGGCAGTGCAACAAAATACATTGTTGTACAGTACTCCGGTCCAATGTCTATGTGCACCACCTTCCCCAACCTGCACTGATCCCCATGGTGAGGTATGGTCAAATAACCCCCATGATCTACATGGCATGGGGAGGCCTTAATCTAAAAGTGGATTCAACTTCACTCTCAAAAATATAAGTGAACCAGTTTGGGTTTCCCTACATGCCAATTCCACAGGGCAAGAGGCGTTTGTGATATTTTCAGAGTGAATTTAATGTCAAAACAAACAAAGGTACAATGTCAACCACTGCCTGAGCAGCACTCGGTGACACTTCAACTTTGACCTCCCCCCTCCTCCGCATCCACCCTTCTGACCGCTCGCTCACTCTACCGCTCTCCCACCCCGTACGTGCCCCTTTGCACGCTGGCCGCTTGCCAGTATTCCGCGGCAAGGTGCTGGGCAAGAAGACGATGGGCCTGGAGACTCGCTACGAGGTGCAGGTGACGCGCACGTACAAGAGCGACTTCCCGCTGACGACGCGCGAGTACGTGTGGGTGCCCAACGTGTGCGAGTGCCCGCGCGTGCTGGAGCACCGCGAGTACGTCTTCATGGCACGCCGTCACGTCAACTTCGAGCGCACGCTCAACCGCATCCTCCTGGAGCACGACAGCTTCCTGAGGCTCTTCCGGCCCGAGGAGACGCGTCTCATGAAGGGCCTGGCCGACCTGTGCCGCAAGCGCAAGCTCAACCCCGGCGCTGCGGGCTAGCGGGGCAAGTGGCTGGCGGCCAGTGGAGCCTGCTGTGCTCGGTACCCCTCCACCGCCCCCCCCCCCCGTGCCCACGAAACAGACCCTGAGGACATATTTGTTCCACTTCGCTGCCTGCCCTTCCTTCCGTCTTTTCAGCGACTTAACGGCTGTGACTGACTACTGCTGCTGCTGCGTGCCGGGCGGCCGTGGCAGGTGGGCCCGATGAAGCCGCTCGCTTCCGCTCAAGCCGAACGCGAATGTTCGCCAAAGATGACAGAGCAGACATTGGGCTCGTGTTGCTGCTCAGTGAGGTGCTGCGGGGGCCCTGACGAGTGAAGAGGCAAAAGTGGCTCAATTCTTCCGACCAAAAAAAACCCAGAATGACACACTTCGATTTGTACTTTCTTGTTACACTTCTGCTGCATCCATACACGGAGGAAAATGGGCTTAAAGGAGACCGGCTTTATTGGCGTGTTTACCTCAAAACTGTTAGCTGGTAAAGGCAAAGGTCAATGATTGGCCAAGAATGCGGCTTGTCTCATCCGTGCATTTATTACACGTACATAATTATAGGCAGCTTCAAGTGGTGTACAAATGCAGCGGTAGTGCTGGCTACAGCCTGTGGCTCAATGTGCTTCGCTGATCCGGTGAATGAGGAGCACGCCATGTTGAGAGGTTGTGCTGCCCATTTCAAAAGAGAAGCACAACCCTCTCTTTCCATTTGCATGTCCCTTGTCGCAGCTTTACAAGCACTTACTCGAGTTAATTATTTCCTGCCAGACAACGGTGTTAATCAGTGACCAGAGACGCCTTGCAAAGAGACTCAAAATCTAGAAGAACCAGTATGGTAATGACGTGTGTATGAGTCTCTTACTAAGGACTAAAGCTGAGAGGTAAAAACTATTAAACAATTAAAATATTTTTTTATTTTACCAGAAAAGGTTCACTGAGCTATGTAGCTCTTTTTCAGAAGCGATCTGGCCTCAGACGATAGCTCAAAAAAGTGGCTTATCGTGTGGCAATTTATAGCAGCCAAATACTCTAAACCCACATTGATTAAAATTATAAATGTGGACGGAAAAACCGGAGGGCCTGGAGAAAAATCCACGCCACCACAGGGAGAACATGCAAACTCCAAATATACAGGCGTCATGGTTCTGGATGAAACCCACGATCTCCTGTAAACCAGGTGAGGTAGTTAACATCTCGTCCTCGTGACACCACGAAAAAATGTGTGTTTTAAGCGATCTCATAAAACATTGCCAGAAAGTAAAACAATTGACAACATGTGAAGGGCACAAAAGATGCGCATTGCACGAGTGTGAGGGGTGCAAGAAGAGGCATATAATGAATAAACTTTGGGCATATTCCAGGCATGAATCAGTTGGTGAAGGTTGCACGAGACTATCATGCAATCCATATTTATCTTTCATCAATCATACCATTTTTTGCAACGGTAAGCCTTTTCATTCTCTTCGTCAGCTATTAAATCTTGTTTTTTTTATTCAATGGAGATTAAAAGGCTAGATAACATGAGAATACGTTTCTTAACAGTGTTTCTTTAAGGCTGGAGAGAATGTTTGAAGCGGACGGAATTGGACTTGATGAACCTCAGACGGTGGTTCAGCGAACGTATAAATGGTGCTTTGACTTGCCCCATGAAGGTCACTTTGACAAAAGCCCGAGTGTTTGTTTTAACGTGCCATCTTAGAGTACATTTTCGTGGCTTTTTTTGTAATCCACACAGAAGAAGCAACGGTATATATTTATCAATTTAAAAAAAAACAGGGGTTTAAAAAAAGAAACATTTGGTGCTACTACCACAAATGCTCCCGACTGCTCCCCGACTGCGGCCGAGAAAATCGCCCGTGTTCGCGCGAAGCAACGCTGTCCCAAGGCCACGGGTCAGATGTTGTGACCTCGGTGGTGGTGTTTTTGCTTTGCGGGTGGCCGAGCTCGTCACCGTTCGCAGGCCGCTGACCTCGCTTCGACAGCCGCGACCGTTCCCTTGTGTCGCCACCCAGTTCACGGCGTCAGCTGGAGGAGCCCTCTACATTTTTTTTGTAGTTGAGGCCTTTTCCTTCTTAAATTTTGTTTTTGTTTGCCTCTGGGACGCAACAGCCGCGTTGCGATCGTGAGATGGAGGTGATCCAGAATAAGTCTCGGGGCGAAACCTTGCACCAGAGAGGTCACAGTTAAAGCAAAAAAAAAGCCACACACACATGGGTAACGTTTTTCTCTCTGTGATGCAGTTGCGGTAATGTGGCTAGAGTTGCCACCTGTTCTCGTTTTCCCAGAACCTTTATCTTGTTGAGAGATATCTGTCCGGGGAAATCCTTAAGTCTTCCCTGGAGCATTAAAGTCCCGTTTTTTTGTAGAACGACACCACTCAAGACACCGCATATTTACACGTTGCTCTCCCCCTCTTCCGGTATCGTGAGATATTATTCTTCCCATGATATGTCTCTGTTTTTTTTGTTTTGTACCTCGGATGTGCAACCCGAATGGTAACGTGGCTGCCCCCATCAGCGATGTAATGCGATGACGCGTCTGCCTGCCATTACCATGTCCTAATGGGCTATGCTTGGGAATGCGGACGTGAAAGATGCCCGTCGTAAGTCGGACTTTCATTTTACGGTTAATTTATCTGAATTTATGTTGAAGGTGTCAGGTGCATTACAAAAGGATTACAAAATGAGTATTTTTTCATAATGCTCTTTTTATGAAAAATATGAAATTATTTACAGCCAAAAAACCTATTGTATTTTGTACAAAACAATTCTATATTAAATGCTTTGTATGTTGTACCTTAAAACACACGTATATTTATTTTTTAAATTGTAACATTTTTTTATAAGCTGTACGTTCCTTCAAACAAAAGGCTTCAGATGCATTTGCATAGTATAGATGCTTATACAGTACCTAAGTGGACGCTGCCTGAACTTAACGCTACATTTTTATAAAGAAATGTAAGAGTCATAAAATTACTATTTAGGTGTTTGTGGTTGTGCTGTGGAGCTCTCCGATGTGTTTCCAGGTTGTACCGCATTTTGGTCGTCGTGACGACAAATCAGTTCCGAAGAAGCGCCAAGCACGGCGGTCCAAAACGTTGGACATGGTGTTGAAGAACACGTGGTAACAACCTGGAAACGCATCAGAGAGCGATGCCGAGAGAGTGGAATAATGCACGATTGTGTAAAGTAATCAATGGATACTGAGCATCAGACAGTTGCTCGTCCAAAATTGGATACTGGTACCAGGAAAGGAAATGTCACCATCCTAGACCTTTTGTGTTATTACGTGTTGTCGCGTTTCCAGAGGGTCACGAAAGTACGCTCCTGCAAGATCGCGGGTACAATTAAACAATAGCGCTCGCTTGGTTGTCTCCGAATGGCTGGCCAGCATTGCGTTGTGTGGCACGTCTGTTGCTGAGAAAGCAATCACAGTGTTATGCCATGTTGCAGTCTCCGTTTTTTTTTGCAGTGGCATTAAAGAGGTTGTCGCGCTCACATTCCATGCGTCTCGTGTGTTGACGAAGCATTTTGCCGTTTGCTTTCTCGCGAGACGCTGTTTCTACCTCTTTGCACACACCGGCTTGCCAATGTCACAAAGCGTGCCTTCGCTTTGAGCCCCCTTGTTTACTAAATACTTTTTCGCACCCCGATGTTAAGCAGCCCAGCTTAAGATAAAAAAAAACGTTTCTCTACGCTTATTCTCCAGTTCTGCTCGAGTTTGGAATTCCCTCGCATCATCTGTTCTCCCCAAGTTCTTATAACCTTGCTCAAATTCAAGAAAAGTATGAACACTTAATCTATTACACCTTCAATAGTGCTGTTTGCCGATAGCCACTTGGCACTTTGGGCCTATGTTCAGTCACTGATGCAGAAAAGGAGCAGGTTATGGCACAAGTGACTGACAATTATGCCACTCCCTTTTTTTAGAATACAAAACTCCACCTTGAGCCGCAAACATCACATGTTCTTTCAGCGACAAGCCAGATCGCTTTGGCAATTAGAGGCCTTTTTAGCGTCCAAGTGCGGATTTACAGTAAGGCAGCCAGCGCCCCACAGAGAAACCGGGGGCATTGGTTTGGATCCCATAGAGAGACAGGGGCATCGGTTTAGATCCCATAGAGAGACAGGGGCATCGGTTTGGATCCCATAGAGAGACAGGGGCATCGGTTTAGATCCCATAGAGAGACAGGGGCATCGGTTTGGATCCCATAGAGAGACAGGGGCATCGGTTTGGATCCCATAGAGAGACAGGGGCATCGGTTTGGATCCCATAGAGAGACAGGGGCATCGGTTTAGATCCAATAGAGAGACAGGGGCATCGGTTTAGATCCCATAGAGAGACAGGGGCATCGGTTTGGATCCCATAGAGAGACAGGGGCATCGGTTTGGATCCCATAGAGAGACAGGGGCATCGGTTTAGATCCCATAGAGAGACAGGGGCATCGGTTTGGATCCCATAGAGAGACAGGGGCATCGGTTTAGATCCCATAGAGAGACAGGGGCATCGGTTTAGATCCCATAGAGAGACAGGGGCATCGGTTTAGATCCCATAGAGAGACAGGGGCATCGGCTTAAATCCCATAATAAAGATGGGAGCATCGGCTTGAATCCCATAGAGACGGGGGCATCGGCTTGGATTCCATCACCGTTGCGCACATTTGAAGGTCAGTTTGTACCGTTGACGTTTTTTTCTCTCCAAAATTTTTAAAGCGGATTGTGCATTCTTTTATTTTCCGTTAAAACATTGAAAATCCAATAATAATAATAATCAAGGTAGTACTATGGTGAGAGCAGTCATCTTGTAAATTCGAATTTTTAAAATTCAAAACTGGGTCAGGGGCTGACTCAGCCTATTATTCCTCTGGGGTCATTAGAACCCCATTAGAACAAGTACCACTGTGTGGGAAGCCAACAGCGCTTGTCTCCCCCACCTATAGAGACTGCCCTCAATGCAGGGAAGTGCAATTTCCACCGTTGGCTCGGTACCACAAGCGGAGAATAACATCGGCCTACACTCGGACAACCTTATGTACTAAAGACTTGGCGAGTCTTAATCATTTTTAACAGGATCCGGCTTGAGCAGTTGGGGAAATTATTGAGTATCCAGCGTGAGGTGGGGGCGGGCGGTGCTCAGAATAAAGCCACCGAAGGGAAGGACTCTCAAAATCTGCACTGACAAAGAGCCGACCCTTCTGCACCGCCTTACACAGGCCACGTGGTAGCATTCCACGTGTTGTTTCACACGCTGGATTTCGAACGAGTCTACCAAACGATTACCATAGTGAGGAAAACATTTCTTCACCAGAAATATTTACTCAACATCCATTGACGTAACTTGTTCTTCAAACATTTACTACTTCACACGCACTGCTATCGGTGTCGCACGAGTGACCAACGTTCGCAGCTTCTGCTTTTGATGGCAAGTTTAAACTTGGGTTAAAAAGTATACATTTGCTTTTATTTTTTAGGCGCATCATACCGACGTCGAAATACTCCTTTTAAATTGCGAAAGCGTTGCAACGACTGTGATATCGAGTTCGAGTCGGCGGTCTTCGGGCCGCAAGCGCGGCGCGCAATGGCCCCGCAGGTGTCTGGGGATGATTGAGGACGAGGGGAAGAGACGTGAAAAGCGCGGACTTCGGGAGTATGTACACAGCTGTAAGGAGACCTCAGCCCTCATCTGTCATCGCGACGAGACGGAATCCATCGTGGCGTGCGGAATGCCGGCCCCCTCGACGCACATTCCGCTGAAGGGCATCCACGAGGTTCCCTTTCGAGCGGCAGTGACTCCCAAAGGCGCTCGTCTCGGGAGCCACCAGCGGGCTGGACGAGCGGACAGCGCGCAGGGCTCCCCCCTCTCTCCTCTCCTCTGCCTGCCTGCGTGCGTGTGATTGATGGCCTATTTGACAGTGCGTGGTTCTCGTGTCATGCGTTGTTTGCTGTCGCCAGATAAACATGTTTGAAACAAAACAAAATTCTGCCTGCAGGACCGCGGTGCGGACATACTACGCCGACCTCTGCTACCTGGACGTTTAGAGTCTCACCTGGAGAGCCGACGGTCTGTCCTCGCAGGCACTTGGCTGCGAGGCACGGCTTTGTTTTTAGTTTGTAATAGGGCGGCATCTGCCAAGCGTGGATTCACGTTCCAGCCTGCAGGCTCGGAGGGATTCCCATATTTACCTTTTGGTGTCCACGACCTTTGCTCTCGATCAGTCGATGCAGGAATAGCCCCGGTGGCTTGTAGAGTAATGGGATGTACGCTTGGTAGTGATGGGTGTACACGCTTTATGCCAGTGGTGTAAGATTGAACCCGAGATAACCTTGCATTGAGAAGCTTTGGAATGAGCTTGCACTTTAGCAAGGGTGACATTTGGACATTTGGATTTGTATCGCATCTAAATACGACCGCATTTAGCGATGTAAACATGAATAAATGTTCGCATGCACAGGCATGAAAACAAGGGAAGGTCCCCGAGCCTGCACTTGAACAGGGCAGGGAGTCCACAGCACGTACGGCTTGAGGGAAGATGAATACGGAAGAAAGCGTTGGCTTTTAGGTTGATATTGAGACGCTCTTAATGCAATATTTTATTAAAAGTCAAAGGCGGAGCGTGACTTCTATATTGGGGGGGGGGGCGGGGCAGGGGTTCGGTTTGTCCCTCAGATTAGTCATCTCTTGTATATAAAATGAATCCATTTATTTTAAATGTTGACTGTACACTACTGAAAATAAATGAATAAAGGAGTAAAGTTTGTGGTGGGGGGGGGGGCGTTGCTTCCCCGTGCCCACGTTCCGACAATGTTAAAAGCCCTCGATTATATCGTTCGTAACGATTACATAATACAGATTTAAAATGCCTCACCACCAAACACCGTCTTAGAGTAGGCAACTCTAAAAAGGCAGCACGTTAATATATTGTCCGACGCCTTTTTTTGCTGAAAGCAGCTGTTATGTTGCTGCTAAAGTCTGGATTTAAATACCATGCCTTTTTTGTGCTTGTTCAGTTGGCCCAGTCCATAGAGCTGTTTGAAAGTAGCAGCCAAAGAGCTTTGTCGCCACAAATTAGAGGGTAGGGAGGTTCACGTCCACCGATCACTCACTTTGAACTCCTCAACAGGAAACTGCAGGAGGGAACAAAGTGGATAAAATAATGACCGCTGCGCGTTGCAATAATAAACAAGTTCACGCAAAGCATTACATTTACTCTGTTCTACAAAGGTGTTTTCGTTGAACTTGAAAGCATGAGGAGAGAAGAGAGGAGAGGGAAAAGGAAAAAAACATTACCCATTAGATCCAGGCCATTCGATACGAGGGCAGGTGAATAATCCAAGTTGCCCTGGTGGGAAAATCCCCACACGTATTATTTGTGTTGCACGCATCCGAGAGAAGTGCCAGGAAGAGACAAAGTTTGGCGTCAATTATGAAGCACCTGCCAAGAGTTGATCCTGCTGCAATTTAAGCTGAAACGTTGCAAAATGAGTCCCACAGCAGGCATTTCCTTACCAGGTCACGAGGTGTTTTCCCTTTATGCTCGGTAAATGTTGACATTAGCTTACCGGCAAGGATTCACCTGTTGCCTCTCTTCCCAAGCTCTTAGTCCATATTGCGTTACCACGTCCCGTTCTTTCCCGATGACTCACCGACACGTTCTGATCTTGAGCAGTGATGTTTTGCAGAAGACGTAAGCAGCAAACCTTTCGGAAGGGCATTCACGTGAGCTTAGCTAGTTATCTCATTCAGGGCAGCGACTTGAAACAAAGAGGTTCGACATAATCCTCATAGGGTATAAAGTTATCAGATGCAATCTAGATGCACTTTCATTTGTCAAGTCATCAGTGCCATCTGATGCCAACCGATTGCCTTACGATGGTTATTGATCGAAGATTTCCCTCCAGCAAAGGGGCTGTGATTTGCAGCAGCAACAATGGGGCATTTTTGACTTAAAAGCTTTCGTGACTGCAGGAATTCATATTCTTTGGGTCATTCGGTAAAGCCACGTAGATATCTGTGATTTTACCGAAAGACCCAAAGAATATAATGGGGCAGTCAACATCCAGATTAGTCGCTAATGGTGGCACAAAAACACGGTCTTTTGTGCACAAAAACACGGTCTTTTGTGCCACCATTCTCTTTGACATTGGCGGATCAATGCCAAAACGCCGTTGAAACGCACGCTGCACCGCAATAACGGATTCAGTCTTGCTGAACTGCAGAACGCAAAACGCCCCTTGTGTTGCGGGGTCGCCGTCTTGCGAATGACTGAGGCTAGGGGCTGTTTGTGCGCTGGGAGAGGCATCTAGCGGTGATCATTTGAAACTCTATGCCCCGCCCTTTCAAGTGGTAAGAGTTTCATTCAGGGGCGGTTCGTGGTTGCAGAGATATAGCGATTTCAAATCGGGTTCATCTTTTTAAAACACCCTGTATTTGACTGAAAAATAAAAACCAGCAACGCGAATACCATGAGATCTCATGTTCAACCATCAGTCATGCACTCTCCACTGCTGGATGAAAGCCTCCGCAAGCCGTTACCATCTCTCATGCATCTTATGATGCATCTCATGATGCGTATTATTTCATTTGAGAAAATGATATGCGAGTTTGTAACGGCGTTCTGATTAGAATTATGTGGGGGGATGGCTGTTGGCTGCCCTCAGCGAATGGTGTAAAAATTTCACATTCCTATGACAGGGATGACTCACTGACCTGCATAACCACGACCGAATTGGTGTTGACAAAGCATGCAATGATTAATCGATTCTTACACTCGACGTACACGCATCAGAACGTCCGTGTAAGAATCTATTAAAAATGTTCCCAAATTATACAAACATACGTTGTATGCAGGCTAAGGGAATGAACACAACTTTACAAGCTCGAAGAAAAACCCTGCAACAATACAAGACTGTAAAAATGTTTGCTGAAAATAACTTAAACAAATTAAATCAAAGTAACCACTGCAGTCTGCGCTCCTTCAATGGAGGAAAAGCAATACTCTCTACGGACTCTCCTCTCCTGAATGCCTCTCGTGGTTAGCAGACCACGACATTGGTTGGCATCTAGCTCTTGAACACACTTTATTATCGCCATGCGTAAGAGTATAATTGATCCAAATCATGGCACCGAATCGTGACGATTCATCCGATTGCTGTGCCGGCATGTACCCCGAGTGTGGTGGTGGTGTCCCGTCTGTCATGCTGGACAGAGACTCGCTTAATTTTTTTCGCGCCGTACGTAGCCAACCCTGCGAATCGGAGGTGCGAAATAATCTGTCAATGCCCTCAACGTGCTGTGGAGCTTCAAGTCGCCTCTTTAGGTGCTCCCGGTACGTGGAGCGAAACGTAGAACATCACGCCAAGTGACAGGCGCTTCGACCCGAACCACGCATCGCAGAGCCATACAGCACAACTGTAGAAGACCAAGCGGCAGGGTGTTGGGTGCCAGCTATTTATTTATCTTTGAACATTGGTGCGGTCTCCCTGATGGATGTGACCACATAGCACGCGCTCCACAGATAACAGTTCCATAATAAATAACATCCACGTCATACTGCGGGAAGCTTTTGCTTCAATTGATTTTTAAGCGATGATGCACCGAGACCACACCGGAACAAGAGAGGCACGTAGTTCACCTTTGGCGGTCACCGTAAAAAAAAGCTCATAAACTAACGGGCGAGCTGCGCAGAGTCAGGGCTTTTACAAGCAATGGTAAATTCATTTGAAAAATAACTTAAACTAGCAAATAATTTTAGGTTGCGACAAATTACGAAAAAAAATACGAATTGACAAACTAAAACTTGACGTGGGTGCCCGTTTCATAGCGGCGATGTGTCGTTTTGAATGGACACATTAACCACCGTCCACACTCAACTCTCAGCTTACAGTGATAGATTTAACCAATGGTTGTTGACAGCTATTTTCCAAAGTTCAATCCATCTACCCAACGTAGTTAAGGATGTTCGAGGTACTCAAGAGTTTAGGAGATTGATCGCTGCGGATGGGAAACTGAAATAAAAATGCTTTAAATTTGATTTCAAATAGCACAGAATATAAGCACAAACGGCATTAACCCAGCAATTAAAAGCAGCCCACTGCAAATAACTAGATTGAGTACATATTTTACTTTTGTATCACAGGCTTTGGATGTAATTATTAAGATATATACATGGCCAATTTGTCGTAGAAAAAGAGGAACCTGAATTTAAGCCAGATACCAAATCCACTGGGGATGAACCAGCAGAAACAGTGGTTGGGGCACAGTTCAATTCCTGGACTTGGCTAACATGAATGACGAGTGAAATATGAAGTGGTCCTGACCCCACCGTGCCACTTCACCAACCAGCATTGACCAACATGGTGACGTATGGGCCAAACGACCCCCAAGACTGCCACGGTGTGAAGAGGCCTTCATTCAGCAGTGGACTGATAAAGGGACTGTGACATATACGTTTTTTAAACCATGATGTCAGCTGGTCTGGTTGCTACAACATTGAAACATGTACAAATCTGAGAGGTGCATACATATCTTGCTGTTGAGTCAGAATGTAAATACAAGGCATCTCCATCTAAGGGCCACTCCGATACCACCACATCATGAACCACATCAAAATCATAACCAGTGATGAATGTTGCCTGTAACGAATAACACCAGAAAAAAATGCTTTATCTAAGTTGTCAACAAACACAACAAATGCATACCTGAAATGTATAACTTCATATTTCAAAAGGCATTCGTGGACACATCAGTTGCCTCCGCACACCACTGCACCGTGATGGTGATGACGGTTGTTATAGAGATCCACACATTACAAAGGTCAGCTTCTGTGGCGTAATTAGCAGCGAAGCAGCCGATAGGATTGCGACAAATTTGACATTAACCTCGTGTGTGAATTAACGATACTAAACGAAGCAGTAACATTATTCACAGTATGAAATACAGTTACTGTGAATGATAAACAAAACTTTTGGTTTCCCCCACTACCATTACATTCAATAAAGGTACAAACACGCAACATATTGTACTTCTCCAATGCATCGTTGCACTCAATTACCGTAAATACAGAGAGCGATGTCTTCAGGCGTGTAACGACGCATCAATTCATGATGAATGCTACGCTTACGTCACCGTCGTTGAAAAGTTCACATCAAGATTATTTATAAGGATAATTTATGAAAATTAAATTGATGTGAAAAGTTATTTATATATATGCCAATTATTATGCTTAGGCTAAATATTGTGATCAACATTTCCATGCAAAGACGTAAAAAAAGAAAAATGTAGAAATAACGCAAACGCGATGGTAAAAACGAGACCAAGTTCAATATATTTTTTAATAAAATCATGGATCATGCTTGTTGGTTTTATAATACATCTTTATAATGCAAAGCATGAAATGAACTAACTACAGCAAATACATATAAGTTAAACGAATAAAAGCGTACACGTTTATTTAACATATTGCACTAATAGCAATTATAATGTTAAACAATTCTATCAGGAGTGCTTGTAAGTCTAGAAAATAACTTAAAAGTTCATGAGCACATTCTATGAGCGCGATGAAAATCTATGCAAGCGATTATGGGAAAAGCAGTTAGGCAAAATTAACTGTGGAAAACGTATCGATATGCTGAAATAATTGTTCCGGCATATAAACCAGTTGCTTACATTAAAAGATATGTGTAAATTTAAAGCTGGATAAAATGTATCAAAAATTGCAGCCAATTGCAACATGTCACCGAAAAGTTTTTATACATTAACATCATTAACAAGAACTTTGAAGATAAGCGCTGACCACGTTTTAAGTGTTTGTCAAGTTCATTTTCAGAATTTAACTAAATTCACATTACTGTGTGAAGTTTCCAGTAATTTACACGCAGTGTGTATCTAGTTCTCTATTTGCTCCTTAAACTTTCACCTAATTTTCAACGTGCTATGCTAGTTAATTCATAATTAAAGGGTTGACATTAATTTAATCAGTTTGCTCTTCGAAGCTAAGGAATCTGTTTATTAGGATATTACCTGCAAGTTCCATATATATTTTTCTCTCCCTACTTTGGAGATACAGTTTTAATAAAACATTGGCCTTCAGTGGCAACCCTAAACCAGTGGTGGAAATTCTAAATTTCCATGGCAAAGGCCAGTCTCCCTAAGGATAAGGACTCTTTACCTCCCACAAAACGGTACTTATTATTTCAACAATGGAGTTATGATAGGCCAAGTTGGTTCTTAACATGGGACTTCAACTGAGAAGTTTCCAACTTTGAGTGAAGTGCTTTAACTAGAGCGTCACCGTGGCCAATTGAAACACAACACTGGTGCATCATAATTGTTAAACTCGGATTGCATGAATATAATAATTGTGTTGCCGTGATGCATTATGGGTAAACATAATTATAAGCGTAATCCATTCTGTCTCCACATAATAATACAAATATATTTTAGTCTATCGACCTATTGGCAACATTTATTTAACAAGCCTGACTCTAAATTTTGATTTAAAGCTTTCGTGACTGCAGGGATTCATATTCTTGGTTCTTTTGGTAAAGTCACGTAGAAGGGAAACAATAAAATAATAAACTGGTTTTGTTTCCCTTCTACGTGACTTTACCGAAAGAACCAAGAATAAGCCCGACTCTACTGTACTGACGAGACTGAGAATTTGGCCGCTTAAACAATTTCGCATGATACTATTGGTCTGGAAAGCCAATACACTGATGGACTAAGAATTATTTGTATTTTTACATGCAGACCCAGAATGCAGTTCTGCTAATTCAATTATATATCAAACACCTGTAATTAAAATTTAAATATGTGAAACTAGAAAACCTGAGACAAAATTTGAAGCTTTCTCAAATTATGACCCACAAACTGGTTGAGGTCAAATCACCAAGGAGCAAACAGTCAAATTTAAATCAATGTACATCATCTCATATAGAAGCATACAACATTTACCTGATGGCAGCGTCAGCCATTTTACAGATTAGGTGCATATAACGTGGGTCACTGAAATCGTGGTAGAGCAGAAATCTGCGAAACACGGGCACAGCAAAGGCAGGTGCACGGTGGGATGGCATTCCAGCGCGGGTGCATTTAGTCCGGAAAGTCACGACCAGGGCAGCAGAGAGGGGCAAGCAGAGTCCAGGTGTAGATGGAGAGGCACACCCAGCATGAAGCCATCTTCACCCAGAAGGTGGACCAACTGCCTTGCGTGAATGCCGTGTCCAGCCGGGCGTTCTCGTAGCTGCCGGGATAAACGTTCAGGTGATGATTCCGAGGTGGGGGGAGGCACACAGAGGGTGATGTGACATTAGAACTGTGGCCTCATTGGAGCCTAGCTCTGGTGCAGTGTGTCGACAAAGGATATCAAATTATACTTCTTCCAATTTTCAAAACTAAATGGCAAGTTGCTACCACTGCAATGAAATGCTGCGAGCACCAAACACAAATGTCCCAAAATAATTTAATTGTGAGAAATTGTTTTACTAGCTATCATAGAATGAATTAAAGTTGATGAAAATTATTTGCTGTGTCCCATTGTTTACTGAAAACAAATGGTATCAAATTAAACACACACTTAACAGTATACTTACAGCTCAACATGTTTTTTGGACAGATAATTAAATTCTGACCATTTTCATATGCACACAAATAAAATTACGTTAAATTATGTTGCAACTAAATTTCGGTCTTCGTAGTCTTCACCGATGGCTTTTATGACTAATACCAGATGACCAGGCAATAGAGTTTTACAGACCGCACCTTGCTGAGGAGACAGTTAAGGTGAAACTGCTATCGGGTTTGCTTTGCTTTAAACAAATAAGAACGGGATACACTGATCAGGAAGAATTGGCTGCTCAACAAATCGCCATAACATTTTGGCAATCAAACAAACCCAACTGATAGTCAACTTACTTATGCATCATACAAAAATAGAAGGTTAAACATTAGACCAAACGATCCTTCAAATAATCAAGCGTGTAATGATTTACCCCTGTCATAAATTTGCTGAATAATCAAGTTTTGTGGTCAACCTGATGGTAAAGTGAGACAAGTTCTTTTTTTTATCAAGTTGTCTTATTCTTTTATTTAAAGCTTTCGTGACTGCAGTAATTAATATTCTTAGCTCTTTCGGTAAAGTCACGTTGAAGGGAAACAATAAAATAATAAAATATATATAAAACAATAAAAATTCTCACGATGTTTCTACCATAAAACAAACGGTCGTCATCAGGTGTGTCGGTTTGCATTAATTTATTTATTTTTAAACGGTGTATTTTTTTAAATAAAAACTGTCAGCGCCACGCGCAGCGATTTGGCAGTTTATTTAGAAGGACTAGCTAGTCCATCTATGTTTTGAAAAGAGGAGGAGGGAGACGAAAAAATTAATGTATGCTGTCTGAAAGCCACTGTAAGCGTGAACAATCAATTAAGACCTGAAATGGTTTATCAAATGTTTAATTTTTTCGTCTCCCCCCTCCTCTTTTCAGAACATAGATGGACTAGTCCTTCTAAATAAACTGCCAAATCGCTGCGCGTGGCGCTGACGTTTTTAATAAATAAATGCACCGTTTTAAAATAAATAAATTAATACAAACCGACACACCTGATGACGACCGTTTGTGTTATGGTCGAAACGTCGTGATAATTTGTATAGTTTTATATATATTTTATTATTTTATTGTTTCCCTTCAACGTGACTTTACCGAAAGAGCTAAGAATAAGTTGTCTTATTGTTTATTGCTTTTCGGTCTCATTTGTACAGGTTTGTTACCTTCATTAACCTGAATTCAACATATGTGCATATTTGTATTAATTCTAAATAAGAGTCACGTATCTTGAGCGAAATAATAGACTTTAATAAACTAATCGGAGCATCATTACACGCCCAGTATTAGGATGGACACTCGCTGCTGAGATCTTTGAAACTGCTGAAATACACGTTAACAACTGTGACACCCCACGACAACAAGCTTGCATATTACGTAACAACACCAATGTGCTTGGGGTAACACACCCTGTACTGCTGGGCTTAGTGACACAAAAGTGCTACAAAAAGCAGGCCACACCTTGTTACACAATTACCAGCTGGTTCTTATACTTTTTTTTAAAGCATTAAAAGACCAAAAAAACAGAACCATTATATATTTTCAATTTCTGAGACATCTGTTTAAATCCGCCACTCGGCATCGATTGTTTTCATCCTCGTGGCATAAATGCAATTTTGTTTAACAATTTAATTACGCCGTGAAATTCCCGTAATGGAATTAACCCTCCTGATTGTTTTGAAAGAGAAGCTTGTCTGGCCTCTAGAGGTACTTGTAAAGGTTGTGACAAGAGGAGGCCTAAATTTGTAGTTTATTTTTAAAACAACGTTATAAGCAGCAACAGGTCCCCCCCCCCACCCTTCCAGTGACCTAGCGGCAACTCCAAGTCAACTTATAAACCGCCGCCCCAGGTCAATACATCCTAAAAAAAAAATCGGTATCCGCTGTGACGACTGCTGGTGATGACACAGGAGAGCAACCAGTTTGTGGACCTGACCATGTCATCAGGGTCCGTGGCTAAGGAACAAGCATCCGTTAGCAGCGCCCTCTGCTCACAGAGCCTCCGGGATTAAAGCAACAGGGTTTCTTTTATCCTTACAACCAACAAACAAAACCTAGAATGTTGTAACCCTGAAATCAGTGGATAATCTACTGCCAAAGACGCAGTAAGCTTCTGTAGATTACTCCTTCTCCAGCGCACTGTGTAAGCGTGTCAGTGTCGAGGAAGTGCAACAACTGACGTGTTTTGACAGGCCTGCCTGCCCTGAATACACCCGAGTGCAGCGTGCCTCTCATACTTTTCTCAAAACACGTGAGTGGCATTGTACGCCAATGTGGCAGAACGCAACAGTCGCCCGTCTTGTCGCATTTAGCTGTTGCAATGCGTTTTCTCTTGCTGGATATACGCATGAATTATATAGCCTATGGGATATATATAATTGATTTCACGTGACCAATGTTTTGCAAGAGCAAATTATGTTCGTACTATTTTGACAAACTAGATGAATAGGCACAAAAGACACCAACATCAAACACGCATCGATGGCTGAATAATATTCACGTAAAAATTAAAGGTGCAGCCCTTGATTTTCTTGATCAGGCCACTGCAGGCATAAGGCCTTCCCCGTCAGAGGGAGATCTCGAGTCACCCCATCTCGAGAGGGTTTTTTGGCCGACTCTTCTGAACCATTTCCAATCGTGATTCCTGGATTTCCTGTCAACCTACGAGCAGCAACCGATGACAAATAATGCTGCCCACCCCCCAACAGGAATAAGATGAGAATGCACATCGGTCGGTGACTCACCTGAACCAATTGGTGAGTGTCATCATGATGTATAGCGAGGCGAGGAAGTAAACGAAGTGGAAGAAGGAGTAGCTGTACACCACGCCGTCGCGTTCGTTAAAGACCACCTTCTGTCCTCCCCCGTCTTCCGGCTCTTCGTAGACCGCACCTTGCGAATGTAAACAACGATGGTGTAAGATGTAGTGTAAATCCACGAGGACAGTAATGTTGTTGTTTTTTTCTTTGGTCTTACAATGCGCTATCGGTGTTGGGTCGTGTGATGAGGAATGCGTTTGGGATTATCTCAGAGCAATGAATCGCTGTTTGAAAATCCTTTTAACATACTGCTAGCAATTTTTTAAACACATAGCAGTCCATTTTTTGTTTCAGAACTACAATTAATCCAAATTAAGGGTAAAACTTAATTTATTGTGGTTATTGTTATAGCAGACATTGGTGACCAGGCGGAGACCATTGATTTGCTCCACTTCAGAATCGAATTTAATCACAAGGAGATTGCCCAGATGAAAACCCTGGTCTCAGGTGGTGCCAGATAAACAATGGAACCCCTGAGCCACCTGACCACCTCCTGTGAATGCTTTACAAAAAATACAAATACCCTGCAAGCTAACTTCAGTCATCTACTGGGATGATTAGCTCCATTACAGCATGCTGCATACATGATGGTTTTCAATGGGTTACACAAATCCAGCTGCATCGCTAACAATGGTATTTTTTTAAAGACATCTTTCATGGATATTTAAATATTTTGGCTGCAAAACAACCATTGTGCCATGAGTGAAATGCCATCTTACCGACATCAAAATGAGAAATGACAAAAAGAACATCCATATAAATGTTTAAACATACAACTGAGCCTTAGAAAGCATTATTGCCTTCTGGGCACTGTGTTTGATCTTTAGTCATAGCAGTGTGCCAGGATTTTAAATACATGCCGCAGAAGTCACATACTGTAGCCTGCTTCACTGCATGTTTTGTGTAAGATTACAGCTTAGGACCCTTAGCAAATGGGGTCAGCCAACTGCACATAAGTATCGGTAATTCAAACAGATTCACATATAAAATTATCCGTGACACCTCAGACATAAACTAATTGATTTTCATAAACATGCATTTGGTATAGAAACGTCTTAAAACAAGGTATATATTTGATCTCCACCTTTTCAATTTAGCATAATTTGGGAGATTATTGGATTTGTATAAACAAAGAGTACATGAGCACATAACTTATACATTTGGCAAATGCTATGTTATAAAATTTATGTGGCCAACCGCTGTGTCAATCGTTGCTTGGTAACACATGAAACACAACTGATGGCTCAAGTAATCTGTTAATCGAATACAATTACAGACGATAGTATCCCTTTGTGTACACTAAACAGTCAAAGGCAGCCACCACCGTTTCAATATATTACACATGTACAGAGTGCTCTCGAAATTGCTTGGAAAATACAATTAACGCTATCTAATGGAAAAGGTGATCCCAGTCCTGTTGCTCAGTCGATCACATTGAGTCTGCATTGTCATAACCGGTCAGGCAAGCTGCCAGCATAACTAACGTGCAAAAAGGTCCACATGGAATGTTATCTCAGAGAGACACAGGTATTTCATGCAAGTTGCACCCACTCCCCATCGATTTCCCTTCCCCACCACAAAAGACACACACCAACGTTGTTTTTCGTGACTTTGTTTTGCACCTGCTACAACTGTTGTCGAGTTTCAAACGGGCTAAACATTTTTCGAGCGTGGAATAATTTCTCAAACGTGTCATTTAACAAAAAAAGTAAGGTAAAGGTGTCCTTTGTAAAACAAATGCAATGGTGGGTTGTAAAAAGAAAACGCTGCAAAATGTGGAAGGTTAAAACATTTACAGTTAACTGTCCATTATCAATGTGTAGATTATCTGGGATGCGGATCAACCATGCTTGTGAAATAAAATTTAATAAGAGAAGATATGGCATTCCACGCCCACGATAATTAGCTGCTCCCAACACGTTTGTGACTTAGTGGCCAATGACTTTAAACCACAATAAAAACCGGCGATACATTCTTCATTTTGACCCCCATCCTACATAGATGAAAGATTAATCTTATTTTTTCTATCTCTGAATATACCTATGTTTTTCATTATCTGTGTTTTTTTATATCTGGACCAACCCCCCGTCCCTGGCGTGGATAATTGAGCGTTGACTGTTGTAAGATACCCGTGGTCTGACGGTGAATGAGCGCACGAGACATGCGATCTTACCATCCTCGTCTTGGACGCAGCAAAAACAACAAGACGCCTCCTGAAACAGGACGAAGGGGACGTGTATTAGTTTGCAAAATCAACTTTCAAATGTCAGTTCTCTTGAACAAAACCATGTTTTACCAAACGCAACGGAGAAGTTAATCCTGTTCAGAATGTCTTCAGGTTGCCAGCACTGTCTGGTTTTTCTCTCGTCTTGGTCCAAAACAAGTACTTGTGGTTAATTTGTCTCATGCGCTATTTGCAAACTGTTTACACTTCCTCATAAACTTATAGTGTGATCAAGTAATGTTCCTGTAACTTAAGTTTACATTTTACTCCTGCTCCATGTCACTAGACATTCAATGCTATAATTAAAATGTAACGATAAAACTAACATTTTAACGATCGGATATGTCATCCCATGTTACATTTAATTTGGTGTACTCTAGTAAAATTCCATGTCTGACAATTTAATTTGAACGTTTGTTAAAAATAACTCACAATCATCATTGAGCTATCCACTGCTGGATGAAGGCATCTCAAAGCCGGCACCATTCTTAAAAGTCACATGATACAAAAATCTATCTTACTAAAAACAATTTTATTTTACCAGGTAAGGTCCACTGAGCTTTATAGATCTGTTTGAGAAGCGACCTGGCCACAAATTATAGCTCAACTAAGTGGCTTATCATCGTGTATAAATGTATAGCAGGCAAATACTCTAAATGCATGTTTCTACATGTGGAGGGAAAAACCAGAGGACCACGTGACCACGGGGTGAACATGCAAACTCCAAATATACGAGTGTCAGGGGCTGGGATCGAACCCACAGCCTCCTGCAAACCAGGCGAGGGAGATAACATCTCACCACCACAGCACCCCAAGCTGATCTCATCATCTTTGGTTCTTTCGGTAAAGTCACGTAGAATGATAATAAAATAATAAATTGATAAAATAAAATAACACAATAATATTCTCAGTGAGACTATTAATAAAATAATAAAATAACACAATAATATTCTCAGTGAGAATATTATTGTGTTATTTTATTTTATTGTGTTATTTTATTTTATCAATTTTTTATTTTATTATCATTCTACGTGACTTTACCGAAAGAACCAAAGAAGATGAATCATTGCAGTCACGAAAGCTTTAAATCGAAATCTGATCTCATCACTCCGGCCGTGTTCCCTCTTTTGATGACAATTCCATTGTTAGTCTCAACCACTGGCCATCATCCTGTTATAGTGACATGTCCGGTCCATGCCCACTTACTCTTCTTAACCGTCAATATGATGCCTATGCCTTGTGTATATTTCCTGATTCCTCTTTTCCTTTTATGTCTCTCAGCGCAAATATCCTTAAAACTTTTATTTAAAAAAAATCTTGCCATCCTGGCGATGTCCGAGAAGCATTTAAAAAGTCAAGCTGAGGCTATGCTCAGTCTTAAGTGATGAGGGCTGGAAGCACCAACTAAGCGAGCAGAGGTGTGAAGGGACATCCTGGTGAAAATACACCGCACGTTAAAAGATGCTCGCTCGGCCACCGGTCTACAATTACCAGCAAAAGCGATCAGCGCTCACAAAATCCATAAAACGTCAACAGAGTAACCAACACCAGCTCCAGTGTACCATTAAAATCCAGCAAGTTGGACTTCAATCGTTGACAATACAATGGTGTGACACCACTTTCTTCTGTTTTTATCGCTGCTCTATTCCTTCTCACTGCCATTCTCCGGGGGCAGGCCGTGACATCAAAAACGTGGCTCGGTCGGCAGCCGAACCACCGCAGGGCTCTGAGAAACGCTGACAGTCGGTCAAACAGTCGGTGCGGGGAAGGTTGTCACTCACTGTCGCAGACGGTCGTTCGTCGCTGGAAATACCCAGAGCAGCCACAGACGAGCGCACAGGGGATCCAACACTACAAGGGTGGGGTTAGGGCAGGGCGGGTGCAAGGGGCAGGGCAGGGTAGGCAATGATAGGACATTTCTACATACAGTACAAAGTCGCGTATCCGACCGTCACATATCCACCCTGACAAATTAACTGCCGGCACCCAGTGCAGTATTTGTGCATCGCGTAACCGTTATTTTAAATACAGTAGATGTTTACAAATTCCATATTTTCACATCGAGGATTTTTTTTTTTCTTCATGCGGTGTACATTCATTTCATGCTAAAGTATAGTCAATTATTTTCCCAATTTAAAATCAATCTGACCTTTATTTTTGTCCAGTAACCTCTTTGGGCACGGTGTAGCTGTCATATTTTACCGATGTTCACGTATCCGACATTTTCACATATTCACCTATACCCCAGTCCCCAGCGAGTCGGATGAGCGATGTTGTACCGTACAATACACATTAAAAAAAAAGTGCATTACACTTTCTAATCAGAGGGAATCTCTGAAGAGCTGCATCCACAAGGAGTGTATTTGTGCTTCAATTACAGAAGATGTATTAATCGGCCAGCAACTAAGAGCACCGCACTTCCTTGTAAATGAGCTCGTTAGCCAGAGAGAGAGAGTTGGGAAAGGTTTGTCAGGAAGTGTAACCAGACTACAGGGGGGAATTTGGATACTCGGTTGCACGCTGTGTTATTTACCATTATTTTTCTGTAACTCTTTAAAGCAAGCACAATTTTGGTGGCCGATATACACGTTCTCAAGGACGGTCACTGCATACCGTGCTTTCGGATGTACGTCTGCAACGCTCTTCCTTCCGATATTAGGAAGCCACTGGAGCTATGCACTTAAATCTCGACTGAAAAATATTTTTTAGAACTGCATTTTGTGTTTATTTTTTTGTTCTTCCCTCGCACCTCTGATTAGCATGGTTGGCTACTCATGATGCGAAATAAGTTTAAAATACATTTACTATTTATCCATGAGAAATTTGAAAACGGCTTTGACGTATTGGCATCAATTTGAATCAGGTGACAACGAATATGGAAATCGCCAAGATGTGACGGAACAAGAAGTCTCCGCTGAAATGGTGGGCCTGTCTGCCTGACCTTGTGATAAAACTAGGAATGAACCTAGATGGAGATGATTGCACTTTTTATTAGTAAGGTCTAAGAATAGATTACAATAACAAATCTATTGTTTGTTACAGAAGAATCTCATTGATTGTTTTTCTTCGTTAAATAAACACAAAAAATGCATAAACAAGTAGACATGTTTGATTAAATTACCGGGAAAGTTGCGACTGCGAATATTCTAGCTTAGTAAAACTACAGACACTGCAAGGGAAAGGCGGACTAATGCGCAGCATGTTATGCATGTATTGAGCAGAGTGCTTACTTTAAACTCATATTTATAAACGTTGATCACCCAACAAGGACCAAAGGCCTGCGCTAAGTAGGAGGCTTCATTACTTCCATGTCAGGCAGGAAGGGGAGCAAAGGAGGATAAATAAGAACAAAAGTCAGAAAAACAAAAAACAACACCATGCACATAAAATATAATTAAACACATGCTCACTAAAACAAGAATAAAGATGTAATAATAATTCACCCAGGTGATTTGGATGGACAGTTGAGATTCAGGGGCCATGAGTAGATTGTTTAACATTGCAGTGAGTGGTGGCATCTATAGTAGCTGCAGGGAAGATGTGAACCCATAACATGCAACACTTACAAATGTAAAATTATATTCTTATATCCCTATTCCCATACCTCTGCTTAGCACGGTTGGCAACGTACGGTGCAAAAGAAGTTCAACATACGTTATATCCCTACTTGCAAACAAAACATCACACTCATCTGATTAATTCATTTTCTCATCAACGATTCGTTTTTTTTATTATCCAGCTTATCATGAAACTCGTACGCTGTTATAGATGACGGGTTTTGGTAAAAGTGCAATAAAAAGATGTATTTGTAAATGCAAAAATGCTTTTCTGTAGTGTTACTCAAAAGAGCTGCCAATTCCCTGTTAAGTATTTAATGGCACTAATCACACCTGATGATAATACTTATGTGACTTATGTAACTTTTAATGAATGCAATTATTAGTTGAAATTTCTATCAGGTCATGATGGCTTTTCTCTTTTACATTCCTGTTGCTCTATGCATCCTGTACCATTACCGTTCTGCTGTAATGTGCAGCAGCGATGCCTACTTATCGAGGGCGACATCCGCACGTTAAATGAAGATCGATTGATTGACTGATTGTGCACCCGCTACAATCTGTACAGCATGGCATCGCTGTCTGGACAAACGAAAGGGCATTGCGCAGGCGAGCAAAGAGCGCTCGGGTTTGTGCCAAGCCAACGTGACTCTCGCAGGCTTATGCAGGGGTGAGTATTACCATGTGGATGCACAGAAGCAAGTAGTGAAAAGCAAAATATTGTTCTAGCGACTGTGGGAGGACACACACGGAGCTCAACGTTTAAACTGGGCCTGCTGGGGGCGAGTGGTGTTTTACGGAGCATACAGGCAGGCGTGGTTTGCACACATGCACGCTGCGGCATCGAAAACAAATGTCCCAAAGAAAGAGCGGTTGCATTGTAATCACTGGCTGGGGACTGCGCTGGGCATATATAATATTTATTTGGGCAGCAAGAGGCCTATGATGGAAGCTACATTACAAGCAGATTGCTATTGAGAAATGTGGAGTTTTGAGTATCTGCCCCTCGCATCTGTAGGTTTTCCCGGGGCACCCTGGTTCCTCCAGATGGACATAAAGCAATCAGGCAAAACTCCACCAACAGAAAAAATGGTCTTGAGACCCATTTACTTGTGAGGGTCCATGTGTCAAAGTCCCTCGATCCCATCCCATCTTGCTCATCACTCTTCACCTCATATCACCACACTCTTGTTCTTGAGCAATTTCTTTATTATTATTATTTTGTGATTGTCTGCTCGTCTTGCTCAGACAGATGACAGTCGCTTCATCGGCAGTGCGGAGGGCCCTGAGACCACCTTCGAGTTCCGTTCAGAGGGGGCACTCGTCGACAACGGGTGACATTGTGATAACGACGAGTGAAAGCGAGCGCAGTTTTGTTAAGGTCCTCTCCCTATGCTTTACTCAACAGTCATTTTAGGTGATACCTAACAGTTATTGCAGAACCTATCCAGTTCAGTTAACTTCATCAGCTGAGAACCTCCTGAAACCGTGAGTCTCTTCTGAAAACTCTACAATCTCCGCGATGGTGAACGGTAGATTTAAAAACATCTATGGCAGGGAGGAAGCCAATGGGTGCAAGACTTGTTTTAAGTATAGCGGCTGATCTCCCTAGCTGCCTCCACATTGTACACGAGACTGTGGTAGTGAGGCCCACTGATGGGGAGACCTCGCGGTGATGAGGCCGGGTGTGACAGAGGTGCGGTCGGGGCTCACCATGCGAAGAGCACGCAGCCGTACATGATGATGGAGCCCACGATGGCGACCACCGTGTCACCGATCCGCTGCCCATCCTCGCTCGAGCTCGGGAAGCAGATCGTCTGGTTCATTCCGCTCGCATTGATGACTACAGTTACACAGCAAAGGCACCATAACATGTTTTGTTCAAGACGTTCGACAAGTTTCAATATAGTTACAAGAAGTCCAAAATAAACAAACAAAAAATATTCAATTCCAAATGGCATATGGATCAGAAACATGGACAAAAGACAAGGAAGATAGAACAACATCTGAAAAGAAGCATGGAGAGGTAAATGCTTTAAATTAAACTGAGATACAGAAAAAGAAGGGTACATGGATTAGAGAACATATGCAAGTTAGAGACATGTTGACTGTACCAAACGTGAGTGGGCTTGGGCAGAACATGTTGCTCAAATGTACGTTGGCTGGTGGTCAAGCGAAATGACAGAATGGTGGTCAGAGGGAGCACCCCGAAAAGCGAACCCACAGCAGGGATTGAGCAACGTAATAATCTTGTGTGCAGGAAGTAAACAGACTGTTAGAACGCAAGACCATGGAAGATGGAGATGGCTTGGGGAGACGATCAGGGCAGATGATTTGCCGGTCGTACGCATATAAGACCCATAACAAGGACCTCAGCGCTGGTAGTGCTTTTTGTGAAGAAAAAATAAACTACAATAAAAAACAATTTTGTAAGTTAACACAGAAAGCCATCACAAAATAAAAGCATTATGGGAAGACACAGAAGGTTTTCTGAATTGTAAGTGCCATTAACAAGCACCTGTTAAGGTTAACATGACATAATACAAAGGGGTTATGGGCTAGAATCACTCCTTTTTTACCTGTCTCCCCAGTGATAATATTTACATACTGCACCAGGTACTAATTTAAGGCCATGCCAGGACTACATTTGGTATCGCTTGCCACCTGAGATAAAATGATTACTGAATATTTTCTGGAATCAAACTCGGGATGCCGAGCTTGCAGCTCAGTGCTTTAACCACTATGTTACCACTCCCCAAACACATACACAGCAACAAATAACGATGAATGTCCCCCATGTAGCCTTACCAGGCTGTTGGGGCAAGTACTGTTAGTGAGCTGGCAAAGCAGACGAGGGGGTGGGTGGCCAGTACCATACACAACCGCCTTTGTCTCCCCAGTGGCGATGTTTACTATGCATCACACCAGGTACTCATTTGAGGCTGAGTCGACCTAGGGGAGGCCCAGGACTGCTTCAAATAATTGTCACTGGTGTTGGCCGGGAGTAGGAATTTAACTGTTGTCGTCGGGTTCGTAGAGCAGCACGCTAACTGCTGCACCACCGCTCCCCTTACACACAGCAACACACACATAGCCACACACGCAGCCACACACCCACCTCCCTCGACAGACAGATGCTTGTGCTTGTATTTCTATTGTTTACGTTTGTGAGTTTACAAACAGCGGCAGGTCTAGGAACTGGGCCACACGTGTCGCTGTGCATTAGTCAGGGCCCTAATGGGGGGCCCTAATGGGGGGCCCTGTGCCACTGAGAACAGGAAGTGTTTTGAGAAAGCAACAAACAAGGTAAAACAAACCTCAGTGAAGATGCTGGGGGGGGGGGGATGGCTAATGAGAGTTGCCGGTTCAGTCACAAGGAAACACAAACACCCTGCTGGTGGAATGTGTACGATTATGTGACCTTAACACCTGAGACCTGTAGCCTCATCACTCTTGCCGTCGAACACATTGTTTCACTAACCCTGTCCTTAAGACTCGCTATCATTGGGTGTATTCAGCAAAAAAGAAAGCTTCTAAATATTTAAAACCAAAAAACAAGACCCTTGATGGGTAAAAACGTATGATCTATTCTGTCGGTGAGTTTAACCAAGTGTTTGGTGTCCATTTTAAAATTAATTTAGTGTTTTATTTATGATGGAAACATTGAACTGCTTTCAAAATTAAATTAAACAAAAGAATATTGTCAATAATTGGGGAAAAAAATATGAATGTTACTGTGTACACTTGCAGTTATACACAACGTTCAATACAGTTGTATACTACCACGATTTAGTTTTGAGAAACAAATTGGCATAAATATTTTATGGTACATTCAGGCCATGCCTGGTTGCAAAGGCAATGAGATGTGAAGAGAGAGGGAACTGCACTGCCTGTCCCAGTCAATACTCCCTGCTGGGGCTTCTTTTAAGTGTTGCCAGAAGCCCCAAGCCCTCCCTAATGGATTTAGTGGGGAAATTGGATCGGGCTTTGATCATGCAGGCTTTAGGATTTCTGCTATCTGTGCTGGGCATTTACAGCAAATTACAACAACCGCCTTAATCCGGCCCTTCTATCTTTAATAGCCCTATTTTGCAGTCGGTCTGACATAAGTGGAAATCTTGAAGACAATGATGGCATGGTGAAACTTTCCAATTATGTCTAATTCATCGTAGGATCAGCTGTAAATGAGTTACACTGGCTATGTAAGACATACCCAGCATGGCAACGAATTGTCATAAACGATTAACAGCGATTAGAACTGGAGGTAGTGGGAGTTAATGTGTACACAGAAGTCAACTGGAGCTGTAAGTGACAAAGATTTCGAAGGCATTTGTGCCGGTACATTACTCTGCTGCCATGAATATTGAAGGCTTCCCCTTTGCCTACTGGAAGTGGAACTACTTTTTATCATGATTGCTAAGCACAGGCCCCAAAGGCCCAAACACCAAATGACCAGCAACAAACAGCACTACTGATGGCTTGATATGTAAAACAAGGTTTCTTGAATTGACAAAAAGAAGAGTGCTTGACCTGCAGCATGGCATGGATGAGGCGGTATGGATGAGACAAAACAGTCAGCCTGGTACACCGAGTACTCAACATGGGTGGACGAATCAACATATACCATGGGAGTTACAATAAATAATCATTATATGAGAATTTTTATTTACAAAAGCGCCCTTAAAGAATCGTTCTCAGGGCGCTATAAAAACGTTACGAAAGATTTGAAAGCAGACAGAAGAGCAAGAAACGGAGGTTAAGAAAACAAAAGGAAAAAAAACAAAGGGCTAAACAAGAGGAATGGAAAGGAAGAAGCCAGAAGGCAGGGTCGAGACGCCGGCGTTCCACTGCCAATCTGGAAGTGGTATAATGGAGTGATAAGAGTGATAAGGTGGCGACTGACCATTCATACCCGCTTGCTACTAAATTATTGAGACTTCATCCTGCTACTTGTGGACCTACGTTTTACCTGTCTGTGCAGGTTACATTAAAATTAATGGATATTGAGGGCAGAAATACAATGAATGAGATGTGACTGATGGACCCCGATAAATGGCTTACTTACCTCTAAACACCATGTGTAACACCCCAACCCCCACATTGTCTTCCACCTTCTCTCATTCAAGTTTGTTTTGGTAAAATGCTCATATTTATAAAGATATGCATTCTGCGGTCTCAGATATAAAATCTGATGAATGTGCAGAATCTCTTAAGTTTAGTATGTTTGGTTTATATTCACTATTTTGCTAAGGAAATTAAACGTGTTATGTTTAAACTATAGAATAAAAAGGAATCACAGCTGTGCTTACTGTTCAACAGTGGCTGGCTATCCGTTGGGAAGACTGGCCCCTGCCATAGTAATGTAAACTTTCCACCACTGGCTTTCAGCCACCAATGAAAATGAGCACCCCCCCCCTCCCACCATTGCATCTTGGAGACACACACAAGTGGAGAAACAGTAAATTGTGCGTTTTTTTTTACTATGCTTTTGCTGACCATCTGTGTGGTCATTTCACGTGTCTTTGGCGTGCAATGTGAAAGGGACGGACCTCCGCAAGCCCCACGAGTGACATTTGGCCGACGCAGGGCACCGCGTGCGTGCAAGCACTCACCGGTCTCAGCAGGGCGGCTTGTCACGGCGGAGAACGTCAGGTACATGACATAACAGCTGATGATGGATGCCTGCAGCAGTCCGGACCGTGGTTGCCCTGAAAGAACAAGATTGTAACTCGATTACGACAGACGTGCCAATATGCAGTGAGTGGGCTTTTATGAAACATGCCCGCTGTACTCCATTTATGACTTCATCTGTGTTGAAGCAAACGGTAATGAAAGACGTCGTGCGATATATTTTAAAGATTAAAGTTAACTCCAGCGAAGACACACTGGCATGTGGCGTGCATATGAATGTTAGGATATTGTAGAAACGCCCTAGGGCTCAGGCAGCAAACCCATAATAAACTCTGAGTGAACTCTTACCGATGAAAAAATGTGGCCAATGCTCATCAAGCAAATAAAAGTCACATCACCAAACAAAAGAAGAGAAAACAAATTTACACTTGAGAGCCAATATTGCAGAATATCTTAGCAATGAAAAGTTGTGATGCATGGCAATAAATTGTGCAAGAAAAAATACATTAGAATAAAGTTTATCTTGAAATGTCCGAAGACATGTATTTTAAAACATAATAAAAATATATATCGGTCATTCTAATTTGACTTACCAAATTAATAATAATTTATTGTTGTAACTTTCTGACTGTTGTAACTTTCTGACCTAGCCCTTCTGGACATTTGTAAAAAAAAGCTTCATGGCTCATCGGATTTCTTCATTATAAATGAAGATTCTGATTATTAATTGAGAACAGCCCTGCAAATGACAACACTATAATACATATTGGAACAAAAATATAGAATGGCAGTCATGTTAGAAATATTCATTGTGTTTATTTTTTTATGACTATACGTTAAATGTAAGTGTATAATTGGATAAAGGCCTCACGAAGCCAAAGTGTTCACTGGACTTGTTTGACCATATTTCACCACACTGGTCGGTACGAGTTGCTGAATGAGAGGGTCACAAGACCGGTTCAGATATCACTCGCCACCAACGTTAACCGTGGCCGGGAATCCAACGCCGGCCGTGGGATTCATGTTGCAGTGCACAAACCAACACACCATCCATGCACCGCTACACTGCTGCACCGCTGCACTTTTAATTTAATTAACAGTAAAATTAACACTTACATTGAGTACATACAGGAATGTTTGTTTATATACCTGTAGAAATTATCCAAATACAGGCCTATCGGAAACAAAGGAAAATGCCTGGCTGTGTAAATCATTTGGCCTAAACAATACTGGCAATGACAACGGTGATCGTCGTGGTCACTTTTAAGAAACCTAATTCACTGTGACTAACAGGATTTAGTACAATAGGGTGCACAGGGCAAAGTGTTCCTGGTGTGAGTCAACCCTCCTGTAATTAAAGCACTCGAGCGGCTAGGGAACAATTTTCTCTCTTTCATTCTTATCCATTGAGGCCACGGAAAGAGACAATTCCTGCAGTCCCGTCCCGTGTGGCGCTGCGATTATAAAGTGCATTGTTATTTTTCCCATCTCACCATCCCTGCACATTAACATCTAAACTGCGAGACTTCAACAAAGGATGCTGGGGTTAATGGTCTCTGTATTTCACTCCCCTCCCTCCCGACATTTGGGGGGGAGGGGAGTGAAATACACAGCCGCTGAGATAGTCCTCAATTTTGCTTCAAATACAATCGCCTGCCAAGTGTCGCACAGGCAAAGTTTTAACAGGCAGTTGGTATTTTTAAACAAAGCAACCCATAATTGCACGCGATGTATAAATATACAAATAAAAATTAGTGACATCACAAATATCTACAAGGTTCTTTGAGGCGCACCTCTCAAAGGACCAATGTTAATTTGTTACAGGAAAGACTTAAATGAAATACAGCGGTTCCAACAACAATTCAGTTTCCCCGAGAGGTTCAGTACTTAGAAGGGTCTAAAGAAAAACGGGGAAATGATGAAACTAGAGCAGATTAAAGACAGAAGAGTTTTAAGCTAACTCACCATTTGCCCAGCTCATTCACAAACGTGGATTTTGTGCAGGCTTTTCTTACACGTCCCATTGTAGAGACTAACACAGGTTTTTTTTTTTACACTACTGCTGTGGAGATTTATGGGAGTTTTATGTCATACCCACACTCTATCTTAATTACCTTTTGTACCTAATTTCTATGTGCACAGTATATACAAACTCTGCTAGTGTCTCATATCTTTGGAATTAGGGGTTGAGTTTAATGACAACTGGGTGAAGGACTTTAACCTTTTCATCAAAAACAGTAGAGAAGAGGGTCTTCTGCTCATTAGTCAGATTGGATGGGCTTTTGATAAACAAACTAAACTGAAACAAAGCAAATTGGACACTATTTGTCAATGTCTGTGAACTGAAACTCCAATTATGAAAGTGGCTGCTTACTGACATGTGATGCTGGTGCTACTCAACTACCTTCCTGTTGTTTTAATCAATGCAGAAGCTTTATGGGTGAATGACTATTTGATGTTTTTTTTTGTATGCATATAGAATACGGTAAACATTTGTGAACACTTTCGAACACAATTCCAACAAAGCAAGACATACAAAATTGTAAAGATGACAATGGATTTAAAGATGCAACATAATTATACATGTATCCGCTGCTGGGTTTTAAAGGTAATCTTAAAATAAGGGACCAAAAGTTACAGTTAGCGAGAAGTCAGACAGGATGACAATTTATATAAATGTTTATAGAGATACCCGCGGAATGTTTGTCTTGTCTAGCAGGTAAATGAATGAGAAAGTATATGGGTGTGGTGTAAGTTTGCATATAGCCTGTTGCTTGGTGGAAGGAGATGGGAAGAGATTATAGATAAATTAAATAAATATATGCACCTGATTAAACCAAACTACAGGTCACCTCCTGGTCGCAAAGGGTCAGACCACACAGGGTCAAAGTGTATTCATCACAGAGGGGCTGTCACTATCCATTGTGCCGCATGGAACCAAAAGACGGAGCAGCCAGCCAGTAGTAGTGAAGATGTCAGCGAAGATAGTAGTCGTAGCTATTTAGTTTGTACTGTTTGCAAGCGCAAACAGTACAAACTAAATAAGACGATCCAATTTATACAAGAAACTACTTGCAAGGAGTCAATGAATCATTTCACATAGCTGCTGGAAGATATTTTTTTTGCTAATTTGGTAATAACTGCTGAAATTGAATGGAACAAAATCATGTGATGTCACTGGTTAGAGTAAGTCACTGTTTGCCAGTGTTACAGCCAAATCCCCAGACGATGTCAGTGGGGATTGTAGGCCTCACATATACAATATACATTAATTTGACAAAACACCTGCATGGCCAAAGATGAGCATCTACATCATTAGACCTCCTTTGCCAGTACCAAAATATAATAGGGTTCTTCCCCTTTTTTTCTGGCAACAAAACTGAAACCTTTTTACAAGGATTCATATCTGCATTAACCACAATAATTGCAGATGTAGATGCTCACCCCGAGCCTTCATTACTTTGATAGTGCATTGTCTTTGAGCTGTACGCCTTTTGGCGTCCTCTGGCCGAGCACCAATTGGGTCGAGGCTCAAAAGAAAAGCCGTCCCTGGTGTGGACCAATCAGTTTCAAGGACAATGCATATACAGTGAGGGAAAAAAGTATTTGATCCCCTGCTGATTTTGTACGTTTGCCCACTGACAAAGAAATGATCAGTCTATAATTTTAATGGTAGGTTTATTTGAACAGTGAGAGACAGAATAACAACAAAATCCAGAAAAACGCATGTCAAAAATGTTATAAATTGATTTGCATTTTAATGAGGGAAATAAGTATTTGACCCCTCTGCAAAACATGACTTAGTACTTGGTGGCAAAACCCTTGTTGGCAATCACAGAGGTCAGACGTTTCTTGTAGTTGGCCACCTGGTTTGCACACATTTCAGGGATTTTGTCCCACTCCTCTTTGCAGATCTTCTCCAAGTCAATAAGGTTTCGAGGCTGACGTTTGGCAACTCGAACCTTCAGCTCCCTCCACAGATTTCCCTATGGGATTAAGGTTTGGAGACTGGCTAGGCCACTCCAGGACCTTAATGTGCTTCTTCTTGAGCCGCTCCTTTGTTGCCTTGGCCGTGTGTTTTGGGTCACTGTCCTGCTGGAATACCCATCCACGACCCATTTTCAATGCCCTGGCTGAGGGAAGGAGGTTCTCACCCATGATTTGACGGTACATGGCCCCGTCCATTGTCCCTTTGATGCGGTGAAGTTGTCCTGTCCCCTTAGAAGAAAAACACCCCCAAAGATAATGTTTCCACCTCCATGTTTGACGGTGGGGATGGTGTTCTTGGGGTCATAGGCAGGATTCCTCCTCCTCCAAACACGGCGAGTTGAGTTGATGCCAAAGAGCTCCATTTTGGTCTTATCTGACCACAACACTTTCACCCAGTTGTCCTCTGAATCATTCAGATGTTCATTGGCAAACTTCAGACGGGCATGTATATGTGCTTTCTTGAGCAGGGGGACCTTGCGAGCGCTGCAGGATTTCAGTCCTTCACGGCATAGTGTGTTACCAATTGTTTTCTTGGTGACTATGGTCCCAGCTGCCTTGAGATCATTGACAAGATCCTCCCGTGTAGTTCTGGGCTGATTCCTCACTGTTCTCATGATCATTGCAACTCCACGAGGTGAGATCTTGCATGGAGTCCTAGGCTGAGGGAGATTTACAGTTCTTTTGTGTTTCTTCCATTTGCGAATAATCGCACCAACTGTTGTCACCTTCTCACCAAGCTGCTTGGCAATGGTCTTGTAGCCCATTCCAGCCTTGTGTAGGTCTACAATCTTGTCCCTGACATCCTTGGAGAGCTCTTTGGTCTTGGCCATGGTGGAGAGTTTGGAATCTGATTGATTGCTTCTGTGGACAGGTGTCTTTTATACAGGTAACAAGCTGAGATTAGGAGCACTCCCTTTAAGAGTGTGCTCCTAATCTCAGCTCGATACCTGTATAAAAGACACCTGGGAGCCAGAAATCTTTCTGATTGAGAGGGGGTCAAATACTTATTTCCCTCATTAAAATGCAAATCAATTTAGAACATTTTTGATATGCGTTTTTTCCGGATTTTTGTTGTTGTTATTCTGTC